TTAAGCTTTAAATTGTAGGGTATTTTACGGGTTATGGTCACCGAGGACAATTTTGCTATCCCTGTAATGACCCACAAGGAAGAAAGGGTGTGCATGACTGTATGGGACTGACTGTAGACAGGAAACAAGCAAACAAACAAGGGAACAGTGTACAAGACTGTGTGAGACTAACTCTAGACAGGAAACAAGCAAACAAGCAAGGAAAGAGAGTGTACAAGACTGGGTGGGACTGACTGTATGACCAAGTATGTACAGTCACAGTCAAGAGGCAAGACAATAAGATTTTACTCACTGACAGTCACCAACTCATCTCAAGGCCTCATTCTGGCTTTACCAACTCATTCTGTGTACCTAAAACCTAAGTGGCATACCTTATGAACACCCTGGAGGTCTGTTTCTGCAACTCCTGATGGTTGGAGTCGTCGATCTGGCTGAGTCCACGTCGTTCACCTCTCGTACCCAAAGAATCTACCGTCATCGGTGTTTGGGTTTTTTTTCATCTCAAGCACTGGCCACCTCGATGATTTTACTACTGATGTGTTTGATTATGTTTATTGGGAAGTTACGAGCATCTTCTTACTATTAGGATGAATTTTTACAAGTACTTTTTTAACATTACAACCCTCTACGAGTACTTTCTTCTGTGAGTACTTTTCCACGAGTACTTTCTTCATACTACAGAGATCTATGAGTGAGTAAGTGGTGGATCTTGGTCCGTGTGAGAGGAGGAGGAGAGGGTAGTGGATCGTGGTCCATGTGAGAGGAGGAGAGGGTAGTGGATCTTAGTCCATGTGAGAGGAGGAGAGGGTAGTGGATCTTGGTCCGTGTGAGTGGGTGGTGGATCCTAGTCCCTATGAACAGGATCTAGCATGACGTAGGACAACCATACACCCCATCACCTTGATGTACCGTAACACCTTCCTGAATATTCCCAGAACAGTCCAGCAGCTTTTTATAGTGTTAATCCTGTCCTAACCTCAGTACAGGTGTAGAGCCTTGATGACACTGCGGATCACCTGAACATTAGCCACCCTGACCTAATTTAATCTATCTCTATCTCTCTCTGTCTCTCTCTCTTTCTAGCTTTATTTTTTACTCGTTCACTCCATCTTACTGTCTTCCAAATGCAGTGCTCTCTCTCTCTCTCTCTCTCTCTCTCTCTCTCTCTCTCGTGGTAGTGAGAGAGAGAGGGGTCAGGTTTGTCAGTTCTGGTCAACCCAACTTATGTAACTCACCAGTTTCAGTTCACACTCAGCCTGGAGAGAGAGAGGGGACACCGCTAGTTGGGGGAGAGAGCAGGAAAAGAGGGAGGAAGAGGAAGGGGAGGGGGGGTACTGTTAGCTGGGGAGGGGAGGAGGGACTGTTAGCTGGGCAGGGGAAGAAGAGAATGAGACTAACAATTAAACATCTCCAACTACTCCACCAACACAATCCACCAACACAATCCACCAACACAATCCACCAACACAATCCACCAACACAATCCACCAACACAAGACACTAAATGAACCTTAGTAACACAACAAATTATCGAACCGTCAAACGATAACTTTTTCAATCGTACGAAAGCAAAGGTAAACAGTCTCAAGCACACACTGGTCCCAAGCACACACAGGTCTCAAGCACACACTGGTCCCAAGCACACACTGGTCCCAAGCACACACAGGTCTCAAGCACACACTGGTCCCAAGCACACACAGGTCTCAAGCACACACTGGTCCCAAGCACACACAGGTCTCAAGCACACACTGGTCTCAACGCTTCAACTTGGCGAACACAAAATGGCCGCCAAGACACAACGTACGGGATTATGTGATTAATTATTTGTTATTAGAATAGTGTGTGTGTGTGTGTGTGTGTGTGTGTGTGTGTGTGTGTGCGTTATGTGTATCGATCAGTGGTCCTTTCTACCCTGCCATATGGCAGCGAGATATGGGCCACATACAGGAGGCACCTCAAGGCACTTGAAAACTTTCGCCAACGTAGTCTACGTTCCATCCTCAGAGTTCGCTGGGAAGACAAGAGAACAAATGTCAGTATTCTCTCTGACACCAACTGTAGGAGCATCGAGGCTACCATTATCCATGAACAACTACGTTGGACTGGCCATGTTACCCGCATGGAGGACAGTAGACCGCTAAAGCAGCTACTTTACAGTCACCTAACGAATAGTAAACGTAACGCTGGCGGGCAACTGAAAAGGTATAAGGATAGTCTTAAGACAAACCTGAAAAAGTGCCAAATCGACCCCCTCACCTGGGAGACAATTACTCCACACTGTAACGCTTGGAGGATCACCACACAAGAAAATGTCAATACTTTCGAGTTAGCCCGACTGCAAACCGAGGCAGACAAGCTCCAGTGCCGGAAAGACGCTACCACCGCCCCTCCCGCACTAGATGGAGCCATCCACATGTGCAACATCCATGAACGACTTTGCCGGTCAGGTATCGGCCTCTTTAGTCACCTCAGAACTCACCAACGAAGGTCACATCTTCAATAACTCTTATCATTGTATCAAAGCTGGATGATCGTGTGGGGAACAGGACAAAAAAGAGAGAGAAGGAAGGGAGGAAGTACAGATGAGGACGTATGGGAGAGGAAACGGAAAAGTGTGAGCAGCAGGAAAAGAAGGGAGGACACAGGGAGAGGAAAACACATAGGGAGGGGACGACACATTACATTACATTAAGTCAGGGTGAATCAGAGACGGCGTGATATTCTGTAATTAAGCTATCATGAGTATATCAATAGGATAGAGAGAGAGGCGGCGTGATATCAGGTTACATAACACGTTTCTCATTGTCTAGTTCAAAGTTCCTGTCTACTTCCTTGGGTAAACAGGTCGTATCTTTTGTCGTAATGATTTCGGATGGGATTGTTTACTTTGTGAGAAAAATGTAATGATGGGAGGGAGGGAGGGAGGGAGGGAGGGAGGGAGGTGGAGGGGCAGTGGAGGGAGTTTGGAGGCCAGATCACCACCATAGCAACAATAACATCACCACACTCAGCCTTCACCATAGCTCATACAGTGACTCACCGCCTCTGTTCCATTATATAGTCGCCTTTACTTACAATAGTCACTAGAAAGATGATTATTCTCTTTAGTCATGTTTTATTCATGTCATCCACGGCATTAAATATCTCTAGGTGTGTGTGTTTGTGTAGGGCAAAATGCGGAGGTGAGTGAGTTGTGGCGGTAAGAATCCCACACGCTCAGATGGTCAGTTATGGGCTGGTCCCAACGCTTCAGGCCTTAACAAGGTAAATAAACCGGCAGGTTTTTTTTTTTTGTCACTACCTGTAATTACCTGGTGAGATTATACAACAGCGTCCCTCTCCAACATGGAGTATCTTTCGTTTGAAACTTAAAATTACATTTTTTTTTACGCTCCACCAAACACGAAATATGTAAATGAAGCAGACGTAATTTTCCCTAAGGTGTGCTGGGTACTAGAGCCCCCTCCCCCCAGAGTGGCGCCGTGTTGTGGGTAATGACGCCGAGTAACAAACATCACCAGGGTAAGTTACAGGTTAACATCACTTCAGGCGCTCTTAACACCAGACGCCCGATGCTAAGTTACCAAACATCACACCAAGACCGGGAGAGAGAGAGGCAGAGGGACAGGAACTGAGGCTCTATGGTGGAAGGACAACTTGAGGTGACCACAGCATCCTCTCTACTGTGTGAAGTACAACAGCTGGAAGGTCGCGTCTTGTGGTGTGAGAAGAAACAGCCTCCAAGATCATCTTCTTCTTCCAGCTGCTGTTAGAGGGAGCAGCTGGAGACCCATATGTCCTCTGATACCCTAAGAGAAGCAGCTGGAAACGAACATCTGCAACAGTGAGAAATAACAAGAGCCAGAAATAACAACAGGAACATTACTCTATACTCCAGTTGCTGTGAGAAGGTTTAGTTTATTTAGTCGAGTCGATGATTAACGATAAAAATTACACAAAATCATCAACAAGTTCACCATGCTAGACGTCTATTAATATATTCTCACCACATCGCTGATTTAGTCACCCCTTACCACCACCGTCTCAAAGAAGGTAAATAAATAAAAGAAAAAATCCTCAAATAAACTCGTATTTGGTTTTTTTGTAATTACTTCCTTATCTTTTAATTATTCCCAAAGGATAATGATGAAGTTTCTTGAATCATTCTTTATCATTCTATCAAAATCATTCTATTCTCAAGTGAAAGAGAGGTATTTAGCATTCTGGTATCCATACTTTTTATCAGAGGTTTATTAAACATTTCACACTCCATCTGTCTTGGGCAATGAATCTCATACACTATTAGGTAATGTTATTTATCTCTAAAATAGTCATATAAAACTTGCCATTTGTTGTACTACATTCAATATTTAGCCAACACACACACACACACACACACACACACACACACACACACACACACACACACACACACACGTACACAAGATGTATTTAATCTATTTTGTCTAGTTATCTAAGATTTTTTTTTATTGTTGTTGTTGTTATTTTTATTCTTGTTGTTATCGTTGTTGTTATTGTTATTGTATTAAGAGAAGGTTAAGTTGGGTTAGGTTAGGTTAAGTTGGGTTAGGTTAGGTTAAGTTGGGTTAGGTTAGGTTAGGGTTACTACATCCCGTTCACTAGTCTTATATAATTCTAGTTTATTAACCCCTTGTGTACTGGAGACTCTTTGCTCAATAAAACCAGCTCATGTTAACCTCATAAGTGGCGCCCCCTTGTGTGAGGAAGCTACAACTAAAGATAAAGACTCATTATCAAGTAAACTGATCTTGTAGAATGCTGTAGAACGTGTCCAGTGTTGTTGTAGATGTGAATAGTATTTACTATCCCACTTACGTAAACCGGATCGATGGCCTCTACGTATAGCCTCGTACGGTCATAACTAGTTGTGTCTACCTTTTGCCTCAGGTAAATATCACCATTTGACATCAGGTATTGTGTGAGTATATAAGGCGGTGAGAACAGGAGGCAGGTACCAGTCTAGCAGCCGACACAGGTGAGTGATACTGCTATTCACGAGACTCTATATATCATTGTGTTAACTTAAACTTGTATGAATAACTAGATTTTATACATTATTCATCGTCTTTGTACACAGTAAAAACTTTAAATATATTGTATAAGTAAAAAAGAAATGGAGACTTTAACTTAACATAAGGATTCAAGTTTATTTTAAGTTTTATTTCCTTGGTTAAGTATCAAGGTGTTTACCCCCATATGGTGTGGTCTTATATTGAGGGGGAGCATTAACAGAGCATAACCTAATCTAACCTAACTTATTTGTGTATTGCTGAATCTTGTGTGTTTGTTTACTTCTGAGTATGACGTAACAATAACGACACACACACACACACACACACACACACACACACACACACACAGGTTAAAGTCTTCATCTGAATCTTAATAGTGTGTGTGTGTGTGTGTGGTGTGTGTGTGTGTGTGTGTGTGTGTGTGTGTGTGTATGGTGTGTGTGTGTGTGTGTGTGTGTAATAATAATAATAACCAGGTGTGGTGGCGGCAGGTGAGTGGCTGTGGTCAAGATGAGGGTGCTTGTGGTAACTACCTTGGTGGTGGCGGCGGCGGCTGAGAACTTCTACCGTCTCCCCTCCCCCTACACTTACTCCTGTAAGGAGAGCCGCTGCGTCAAGGAGGAACGCAGCCACGCCAGGGAGCAGCGTTCCCTGGAGCAATGCCAGCTGACCTGTGGCAAGTGAGTACCTTATTCCTCACAAAGGAGCCTTGCACCAATAATTATTCTATAAGAATGTAAAAACAAAGTTTCATATTGTAACTTAAGCTGGCAGAAGCAGTCTTAAAATCATCGTATAACTCAGTTTAACATAAAGCAGCTTTTATTTTATTTCTAAGCAATATTCCTCCAAATATAACTGTGGTTCCTTGGTATCAGGTATGGCTCTCTGTGGCCACAGCCCACAGGCGACGTCCAGCTGTCGCCAGAGACGGTCCACTTCACCCCTAGGAACATGAAGGTGACCAAGATCGCAGCCTCTGGCCAGAAGGTGTCAGAGATGCTGGAGGAAGCCACCCGCTACTTCACCCGTAACCTCCACTTCCTCCACCCAGAGTTCCCTGAGGAGGAGAAGAAGCCCTTCACGGAGCAGGAGCACCCCGTCGATAACTACCTCTTTGTGAGTCCCTGTGCCTCTCCTCCTAAACGTGTATGTGTGTACCTTAACAATAAGGTATTTAATGAACCATAAAGAATATTTGATTAATTTAATAAAAAGACGTCAAATTACAAACCAATATTCCAATAATACTTGAATCATAAACTAACACACGTGCGTCTTATAAGTAATGTATTTCCCTCTAAAGTATGTTTCTTCCCCCACAGAACAACCAATACGACAAGTTTGATCAACAACAAAACTTCGACGAACAGCGTCCAAATTTCGTCAAGAGGAAGTCAGCCAAGGGATACATGAAGTACTCCCCATTCCTGAAGGAGAGGAACAACCCCATTACTGATCGTCAGAACTTTAACATTGAGATCACCGTGACCTCCCCAGATGAAAAATTCACCATCAACACTGACGAGAGCTACAATCTGGTGGTCCAGGTAGGAATCACTCACAATAATAATAACAAAGGGAAAAATTGATACAAAGACTAACCAACGCAGTAAATTAATAAGTCATAAATAGATTAATATACAACTGAGTATTATTACTATTAAAAGATGGCGGGGTGGGGGCTTGATGTCTGAAAAATTCCAAAATTCTTATAAAATTTTTCTTTTTATTCACATATGACTTGATCTTCCGCAGACTGTTGATGACCAAACCACCGCAACCATCTTGGCCACGACCTACTATGGTGCCCGCCACGCCCTCGAGTCTCTGTCTCAGCTCATCGCCTACGACGACACCAACGAGTCACTCCAGATCGTCAAGACCGCCAAGATCCAGGATGAGCCCAAATTCAAGTAAGATTTCTAGCCCAAGTACCTCCTGTAGAATATATTGATATGAATTAATTGTGGCCAGACCTTAATGTTAGCGAAGCAAGGTTGACGCCCAGGCAGTAGTGTTAAGACAGGGACCTTCATCCGGCAGGTACCGCGGCTTTATGTTGGACACTGGTCGTAACTTCTACCCGAAGGAGGACCTGATGCGTCTAATGGACGCCATGTCCTACAACAAGATGAACTACTTCCACTGGCACATCACCGACGCCGCTTCCTTCCCCTTGTACTCCAACCGTCGCCCAGAGATGGCTTACTACGGGTCCTACTCCCCAAGAAAGGTCTACTACCCAGAAGACATCACCGAGATCGTTCAGTACGCCAAGGTCAGGTTCCGCTACATTATTATTACTTTACTGTTCCACTAACTCACCTCGAAGAGTATTATTAAACATCTTTTCAATAAAATAATACTAAAGTGTTAAGCTCTGCCGCCATATGTTGCAACTTGTGTTGTTGTGTTGCAGCTCCGCGGTATCAGCGTGATCCCTGAGTTAGACGGTCCCGCCCACACCTCTGCTGGCTGGCAATGGGGCGAAAAGGAAGGCAAGGGCAACCTGGTCCTGTGTACCGGCAAGGTGAGGAGTGTTGTGTGTTGTTCGAAGTCGTTTTTTGTTATTTTAAACATAACTCTTTTCCTAGTGAGAAAAATAAACACAAACGAATTAATTTTACGAGTGAATCTATATAATACAGTATAGTTAAATGAGGTAATTACTATTTCTTCACGTAGAAACGGCAGCTTCATCAGGGTTCAATGATATCACTATCCACTAAGTCACTAAGCACTTATATACATTAAGTTCTTGATGTCAGTGTGGAGAGAAAACTAATTGCTTTATCTCTCGTGGTGGTGACAGCAGGATGAGCCATGGTTCAACCTGGGCAAGGAGCCACCCAGCGGTCAACTCAACCCCGTCAACCCCGAAGTGTACAACGTCCTCGGAGAACTGTACAGTGACATGCTCCAGTACTTCGACCCCGAGATGGTGCACATGGGAGGTGATGATGTAAGTATATAATCGTTAACTTGGTGCACATGACAGGTAAACATACACAATGCTCTACACTGGAACACTTAGAAACCACGATGTTAGTATGTTATAAGCAAGGCTGATAGTACAGTAGAAAAGCGTACAGAAGCGACCTGGGTAAACACATAGGGTCAAGGGAGGGTTTGTGTAAACATTATCTATGGCACGAAAATAAACAGTCGGTCACAGTCTACTTAGAAAATAATTTGCAAACATAAATAAAAGATTAGGAACTGAGTAAAATGAAACATCATTTGAGGAATTATATTTACTGTAATAATTTTAAACTGTAACTTAAACTTGTGAACCTCAGAATACTCTTAACTTTCTTTAAAATTTTCCTACAGAATCCTGCACACACCAATTTATTCTGGGGAAATATTGACGTGTTATATTGATCTGAGTGTTTCACTCCTTATATGTTTTTCTGCTATATATAAAACTCCCACAAACTCATACAAGCACCTCTTACTTCGACAGGTAAGCTTTAAGTGCTGGCAGAACTCAGTTGAGATCAGTGAACACCTCGCTGCTAATGGACGTGAATCCACTAGCCGAGAATACTTCGAGCTGTGGAACACCTACCAGAACAAAGCCTTCTCCCAACTGCAGGAGGCAGCGGGTCAGCTGGTTGGACGCAAGGTCACCCCTATCATCCACTCCTCTTCTTTCGCTCGTAACTACGTCGATAAGAACTCCTACATCATTCAGGTTAACGAGGACGTTAACTCTACCGAAATTGCTGAATACATCAAACAAGATTTTAAGGTAATTTTCTCTAACCAGGATCAGTGGAGACTGGACTGCTCTACTTCTACCTGGTTTGGTGACAAGGCTAAGAACTGTGCACGAGAAATTCCCACTTGGCAACACTTCTATGAAAACAGCCCACTGGATATGCTCTACAATCTGGGCCTGACCAACGCCCGCACTGATGCTGGTCAACAGGCCAGTGGCGTCAACCCCCGAGACTTGGTACTTGGAGGAGAAGCTACACTGTGGAGCTCTGAGACTGATGGTAATGGCCTCCAAGCCAAGACTTGGCCCCGCGTCTCCGCCATGGCTGAACGTCTATGGACAGACCCAATCCTGCCAGTCCAAGGTCATGACACAGCCCAGAAGCGTCTCAACACCCACCGCCAGCGTATGGTGTTCCGCGGCATCCACGCTGACCCCATCCAGCCAGAGTATTGCATGCATGACGAGAGTGCCTGTTACAGCCAGGAGCAGTACCTCGCCCGCTCAACCATCCCCGCCCAGTAGGCGCCTGACCGCTCATCCCATCCGTGATGGAAGAAATGACTGCATCTTGTCCCTTAGCAAGTTAACATGAGGAGAGGTTTACAGGCTCTCCTTAGGTGACAGTTTGTTCATACAGGTAATCTTTCTGAACCCAAATCATGTACAAGATAATAGTACTTGTTGCTGTACTGGGGATGTTTTGCACCAACATCAACATCATCATTAAGTCCTCTTACATGATAATACAAACATCCAGGTCTGGGTTATTATCCCTCACCTGAGATCAGTATTTCCCCCAGAGCGACTCTTTACCTCTCTGCACCACTCCATTCCTGGGTGACGTTGTTGTTCACCCTACGAGTTATAACATTTTAACTCAATAAAATATAAAAAACCTCCAGATGTTGTTTCTCCAATCTGTATTTCTTGTAGAGATTAACCTCTGTATGCTTAATTTGCCCCAATTAACAAAAAAGAAAAATCAATGAAAATGAGTTCCACACTGAATGATTAGCATTGTCTGCATCACTAAACAGTACAAGTACACTACCACACATCACACGAGGTATTACAAGTACACTGCGACACGAGGTATTACAAGTACACACCACCGATTAAAAATAGTACATATTACACCAGTTATAACTCCAAAAAAGTATCTTGGCGATTTTATGTGAGACAATATGACACAACGAACGAAGGATTTTGACAACCCTACCGAGACAACAGGCGTCGCAGTGTTCATTTTGAAATTCATCGATCACCTCCGTACAGATACTTTTTGGCGCGAGTGTATGTGTGACGCTACTATTTAAAACTAATACAAATAACATCATCATTGAGAACTAATACTTATCACATTATTAACCTTGAATATTACTCTATACACCACCAAAGATAAATATCACATATAAACGTGCGTGTTAACAGCAGTCCAGATACAGTACATATGGTCAAGTAGTTTACATAGGATCAGGTATTTTATCCATTAATTCTAATACAATATTAAGTCCTCTTCTTATACAGTAATAGTCAATGCCTTACCTTTTCTATACACTACTAAAATATCATCATTTCGTCTATTAATTTCTTGATGATTAATATTCTGTTACCCAAATACAAGTTATCAGTCATAAGTAGAGACCAAATTACATCAACTGTCTCGGAAATTTCATCTGAGTCTTTTTCTTTTTTCTTCTCCGTTACATGACAACCAACACATAAGTCATTTCCTCACTCACTTCAGCCGTACCTAATGTAATAGTCCCAATATGAGGTGAAAGATGGCGTTTTGAGAGGTGTATATGTACAGTCGCCTGCATTACACCTGGTACAGTGACTGGCATGCTTTGTGAGATATGACCATCCCAGGAGTTTTAATATGATGTAAACAAACACAAAGTTGCCACATCTCACAAAACGCATGAGCCACTGTACCAGGTATAAGTGCAGGCGACTGTACCTTCTTTGATTCATCGTGTCGTACTCTCCTTTATAAGATCGACTTTTAGTGGTTTCAAACCCAAGGTGTTCCAGAATGTTAAATAAGTTCCAGGAACTATTGTTAACATAAACTGATCGCCGTGGATACTCGGAATAATTTATACATCGGATGCGCCTTATGTACAGCTAAAGTATTGAACTCTTATTGGGATAGGTTAGGTTAGGTTTGGTTAGGTTAGTTTAGGTTAGCACCAAAGAACAACAACAACTTAAAACGTAAGATATGATGCATCACCTGGCGCAGAGAACGAGAACTTAACAATAGAACACAACAGGCAAGATACATCAAACTATCACCTCAAGTATAACTGATATGAATTACAAATCGATATAGACACTAAAACACTCTCTCTGAATGCTTATATAAGGTATTCCAACCCTTTCCTTTCATTCTTCACTTGTTTTACGCCAGCCACTGTTACCTGGACGAGGATGGACGTTTTAGTTGTTTATGAAAGCTGTAAAGACTCTAGTTGTGAAGCTTAAAGGTGAAAGGTGTGGGGGCTATAGAGGATAAGCTTAGTGATGTGGAGGTCCTAGATGATTACCCAGCTAGTGTGAAGGTTCTAGATGATTACCCAGCTAGTGTGAAGGTTCAAAATGATGGCCCAGCTAGTAAGAAGGTTCTAAATGATGGTCCAACTAGTAAGAAGGTTCAAAATGATGGCCCAGCTAGTAAGAAGGTTCTAGATGATGGTCCAACTAGTGTGAAGGTTCTAGATGATGGACCAGTTAGTAAGAAGGTTCTAGATGATGGCCCAGCTAGTAAGAAGGTTCTAGATGATGGCCCAGCTAGTAAGAAGGTTAAAAATGATGGTCCAGCTAGTAAGAAGGTTCTAGATAATGGCCCAGCTAGTAAGAAGGTTAAAGATGATGGTCCAGCTAGTAAGAAGGTTCTAGATAATGGCCCAGCTAGTAAGAAGGTTCAAAATGATGGCCCAGCTAGTAAGAAGGTTCAAAATGATGGTCCAGCTAGTAAGTAGGTTCTAGATAATGGCCCAGCTAGTAAGAAGGTTCTAGATAATGGCCCAGCTAGTAAGAAGGTTCAAAATGATGGCCCAGCTAGTAAGAAGGTTAAAGATGATTGTCCAGCTAGTAAGAAGGTTCTAGATAATGGCCCAGCTAGTAAGAAGGTTCAAAATGATGGCCCAGCTAGTAAGAAGGTTAAAGATGATGGTCCAGCTAGTAAGAAGGTTCTAGATAATGGCCCAGCTAGTAAGAAGGTTCAAAATGATGGCCCAGCTAGTAAGAAGGTTCTAAATGATGGCCCAGCTAGTAAGAAGGTTCTAGATAATGGCCCAGCTAGTAAGACGGTTCAAAATGATGGCCCAGCTAGTAAGAAGGTTAAAGATGATGGTCCAGCTAGTAAGAAGGTTCTAGATAATGGCCCAGCTAGTAAGAAGGTTCAAAATGATGGCCCAGCTAGTAAGAAGGTTCTAAATGATGGCCCAGCTAGTAAGAAGGTTCTAGATGATGGTCCAACTAGTGTGAAGGTTCTAGATGATGGACCAGCTAGTGGGAAGGTTTTATATGATGATCCAGCTAGTGTGGAGGTTTCTAGATGATGGCCCAGCTAGTTTGAAGGTTCCAGAAGATGGCCCAGCTAGTGTGAAGATTATAGATGATGGCCCAACTAGTAAGAAGGTTCTAGATGATGTCCCAGCTAGCGTGAATGTTCTAGGTCCAGTTACTAGGCAAAAAGGTCCATCGAGTGAGCATATAGCCTGAGGCATCAAGGGTGTGGGTGGTTGACCTGGGTGGTGGTGGTGGAGGTGGTAGTTGTGGTGGAGGTGGAGGTGGTGGTGGAGGTGGTAGTTGTAGTGGTGGTAGTGGTGGTGGTGGTGGTGGAGGTGGTGGTGGTGGGGTAGTGTTGCAGGTTCAAGATTTTTTTTTCCAGGATTGTAAAGCGACCGGTGAATATGCACTAAAACCCAATCATAATACTAGACCCAACTATCAACTCCAACTTCCTCCGTCTCTAAAGAATGATTTTGAAACCTTGAAAAGTTTTTGTTGTGAGATTTGAATCAATTTATTTACAGTCAGGGAGTCAAGGTGGTATTGATAACTGCTTTACGTCTGTTGATCATATCTTTAAAGGGTTTTCATTAAATTCGTTCTCTGAGGCGATTGTGGCAAGAAACTAGAGGAGTAAATGTCTCCCTACGACACCGAGTCTTTGTGTGGGTATATAAGGCACGAACAGCGCGTATCAGGTACCAGTCTCCCGGCCGTATCAGGTGAGTACAGTACTCCCACCTGTCTACCTGTTGCCAGTCTGTCATAGGCCCACTGGCTCAGGTAACTCTCTGATAGATATACACTATTTATATATATACATACATGATCCCTTTATCCATATTCTCTGCAGAAACTACAAACGCAATCTAGCCTTTGTTTTTAATCAGTGTTCACTTTTAAATCCACTGCAATATCTTCTGTTAAATATTTGTGTCGAGTTAGCCCTAGTGGGTGACTTAGAACTAATTTCATGTGGTTCTTCAACGTGATTGGCAGATTGCTTTGTCCCAGAACATCGTAACACCTTCACTACAGGGACGCCATTTTTATTATTTTATTCGCTTTATGTCAGACGAATTTATTCAGCTCAGAGCGACTCCACATACATATATATCACCTTGTACAGCACTAAATGTTCCTATGGTTATGTATAGGGTGACTTTTGTTAGTTGAAGTTCCTCATTATTATGGATATGTTGGTGTGTGTGTGTGTAATAATAATAATAACCAGGTGTGGTGGCGGCAGGTGAGTGGCTGTGGTCAAGATGAGGGTGCTTGTGGTAACTACCTTGGTGGTGGCGGCGGCGGCTGAGAACTTCTACCGTCTCCCCTCCCCCTACACTTACTCCTGTAAGGAGAGCCGCTGCGTCAAGGAGGAACGCAGCCACGCCAGGGAGCAGCGTTCCCTGGAGCAATGCCAGCTGACCTGTGGCAAGTGAGTACCTTATTCCTCACAAAGGAGCCTTGCACCAATAATTATTCTGTAAGAATGCTACACAACGTCAGCTAATCTAAAACCTTGGCAAAGAAATGTCAAATTTTGTTTCTCAATTGAAATGCCTCCAAATATAACTGTGGTTCCTTGGTATCAGGTATGGCTCTCTGTGGCCACAGCCCACAGGGGAGGTCCAGCTGTCGCCAGAGACGGTCCACTTCACCCCTAGGAACATGAAGGTGACCAAGCTCACGGTGTCTGGACAGAAAGTGTCAGAGATGCTGGAAGAGGCCACCCGACACTTCACCCGCAACATCCACTTCCTCCACCCAGACTTCCCTGAGGAGAAGAAGAGGCCGCTCACCAAGGAACACCTCGCTAACATCAACATTGGTGGCTATGTACGTAACTTTCTGTGAGTTCTGTCACACTTAAATCTACGATGTTTGGTCTGCCATCATCAGCCATTCTAGACTCTCTAGATGTTGTTGACACTTACGTCATGTAAATATATTGTCTCTTGTTCCAGAATGAACAGCAGCAGCAGCAGCAGTTCAGTCAACAAACGGAGAACAAACCCGGAGATATCAACGAACATAACACCGCTTCCGCCATAATACATACACCAAAAGAGTACGTGAAGTTCTCTCCCTTCCTGAAGGAGAGGAGCAGCCCCAGGATAGAGCGCCACAGAGTCAACATAGAGATCACCGTCACATCCCCAGAAGACAAACTCACACTCGACACTGATGAGAAGTACACTGTGGACATTCAGGTGAGTTATCGTGATTTACTTTTAATTGGATTATTTGATAAATGTCAACAGAGTTACATGTCACCATCATCATGGTGTTACATTACTAAACAATACAATCTATCACTGATAGACTGCTGGGGAACAAACACAAGTTAAGATTCAAGCAACGACCTACTATGGTGCCCGCCACGCCCTGGAGTCTGTGTCTCAGCTCATCGCCTACGACGATGTCAACAATGCTCTCCAGATCGTCCAGAAGGCCACAATCCAGGACGAACCCAAGTTCAAGTAAGACTTTAGTTTATACACCATTAGTGATACATGAAGTTGTTCATAAAACATCAACTGAAATAATTAATAACATAAGGTTGATGCCCAGGCAGTAGTGTTAAGACAGGGACCTTCATCCGGCAGGTACCGCGGCTTTATGTTGGACACTGGTCGTAACTTCTACCCGAAGGAGGACCTGATGCGTCTAATGGACGCCATGTCCTACAACAAGATGAACTACTTCCACTGGCACATCACCGACGCCGCTTCCTTCCCCTTGTACTCCAACCGTCGCCCAGAGATGGCTTACTACGGGTCCTACTCCCCAAGAAAGGTCTACTACCCAGAAGACATCACCGAGATCGTTCAGTACGCCAAGGTCAGGTTCCGCTACATTATTATTACTTTACTGTTCCACTAACTCACCTCCAACAGTATTATTAAACATCTTTTCAATAAAATAATACTAAAGTGTTAAGCTCTGCCGCCATATGTTGCAACTTGTGTTGTTGTGTTGCAGCTCCGCGGTATCAGCGTGATCCCTGAGTTAGACGGTCCCGCCCACACCTCTGCTGGCTGGCAATGGGGCGAAAAGGAAGGCAAGGGCAACCTGGTCCTGTGTACCGGCAAGGTGAGGAGTGTTGTGTCATTACCATCATAATGTAGAATTTTTTATTATCAATCAATACAAAATAGAAAACCTCTTGTTTATAACTACACTATAAATGTTCTACTGTATTTGTTACCTTAGCTATACCATTCTTCTGTTACTTTACTTGATAATCTGCGATATAAACTTCTTCAATAACTGTTTTGTTTGTCAGTTACTCTGTTGCCATATCACGTTACGTCCTTTATCAAATATGTTTACTAAAGCCTAATGTGTCTGTGTGGTGGCAGGAGGAGCCATGGTTCAACCTGGGCACGGAGCCACCCAGCGGTCAACTCAACCCCGTCAACCCCGAAGTGTACAACGTCCTCGGAGAACTGTACAGTGACATGCTCCAGTACTTCGACCCCGAGATGGTGCACATGGGAGGTGATGATGTAAGTATAAGTTTGTTCGATGTAACGGTGATGTCGCACTCCGAACACACAGGGGTTGCGTGTGTATGATTACCCAGGAGTAGAATACAATGGACTTGGTGAAATATACAGAAAACAATAATGGATAAATGCGTTTATATACATAATGCCTTTCTTATTAGTTTTGGGATTGACTAACACTAGCTTCTAATAACGATGAAAAAGTCAAAGTTAATTTTTTTTCTCTTTCCATATTTCAGGTGAGCTTCAAGTGCTGGGAAGGTGCCACCGAAATCAAGGAATACTTGGCTTCCAACGCCCGTGAACCAAGCACTCAGCAATACATGGAACTGTGGAACCTGTACCAAAACAACGCTTTCTCCAAGCTGCAGGAGGCAGCTGGTCAGGCACAAAATATCACTCCCATCATCCACTCCTCCTCCTTCGCCAGCCAATACATCGATAAGAACAGCTACATCATCCAGATCAACGAGGCTGCCACTGATAAAATAATTGCTGATTACGTCAATAAGGGTCACAGGATTATCCTTTCTAACCAAGATCAGTGGAGACTGGACTGCTCTGGCTCGATCTGGGTTGGAGACAAGACTCAGAACTGTGCACAAGACATCCCCACCTGGGAGCACTTCTACAACAACAGCCCACTGGATATACTTTACAATCTGGGCCTGACCAACGCCCGCAGTGATGTTAAACAACAGACCAGTGACGTCAACCCCCGAGACTTGGTACTTGGAGGAGAAGCTACACTGTGGAGCTCCGAGACTGATGCTAATGGCCTTCAGGCCAAGACTTGGCCCCGCGTCTCCGCCATGGCTGAACGTCTGTGGTCTGACCCAACCCTGCCAGTCCAAGGTCTTGACACAACCCAGAAGCGTCTCAACACCCACCGCCAGCGTATGGTGTTCCGCGGCATTCACGTTGACCCCATCCAGCCAGAGTACTGCATGCAAGACGAGAGTGCCTGTTACAGCCAGGAGCAGTACCTCGCCCGCTCAACCATCCCCGCCTAATAGGCGCTTGAAGCAACTTAATCCGTTGTTTTAACATTCCATTCTCCATGCAAGAACAAGTTTTGGATCTCGAATGTAAGTTATCTCAGAGTGGGTTAGCCTCTTGAGGTTAGCAGCCATATGAACAAAAATCTGGTACAAAATGTTTACTTTGTGACCGAGGGAATAATACATGTATGTTGTTGTTGACGTCTGTGTAGAGCATCAGTATACAGTGTGTCCTCCTTCCTCTACACTCACAGCAGTAAATGACCTTGTCTGGATTACAAAATATTGTCGCTTAATAACTCACTTCTTATGGGTCACTGGTCACTACATCACTCATCAACAATTTGCTCACCAAAGATCGAATCTGATGTGATGCAATTTCAATAATAAAAAGATTGAAAATTACGTATTTTTCTCATTATCAAAACTTTGAATATAATAAACGCCTGTGTTTGGTTTATATGATATTAATTAGAAAAGGGGAAATTCCTGACCATGATTTTCACCACACTGAATCATTTCCTCTGATCTATAACCTCTCCCCAACACCTCATACAACCCCAGCAAAGAATCCAATACTAAATAGCACTCCTATAATAAATATAACACCATAATAATATCAGTGAGTAACCCAACACTCTCTAACACCTATTATATGGAATCAAACACTACATAACACCTCCAATAAGAGTCCCAACACTAACACTTTCCATAGTGGGATCAAACACTCTATAGAACATATTTCAAGGAGATCCAACACTCTAAAAACCTTTTAAAAAGACTCAAATACTGTAGGAATTCATGTATGAAACCCAACTTTAGGTATAACTTCTTTGTAACACTTTTTATATTGGATGAAATACTCTATAACACTTTGGTAAGGGATCGACCACTCTGTATAACTTAATGGATTCAATAAAACTATAAGGTAGTGTAGGAGATTGAACCCTTTACAGCACTACTTATAAAGGATTTAACACTCTATAATACTTCTTATGAGGAACTTAATATTTACAGCATTTCTCATAAGTGATTCAATACTCTACATTACTTCTTATAAGGGATTTAATACTACAATACTATAAGAAATTTAAGACTATAAAACTTAAAGGGATTCAGCACTATACAACACTTTTTATATGGGATTCAACACTACAACTCTACTTATAATATTCAACCCTCTTACAAGGGATCCAAAACTCTTAAACACTACTTATAAGGGATTCGACATTCTTTAGTACCTCTTATAAGGGATAGAGCACTCCAGCATAAACAATAAACCAGTTCTATTCTAAACCTATAACAATATTATCACCTAATATATAAATTATTAGCATTGCCAAATTCTTTCAACAATTGTAAAAAAAAAATCCACATCCAAGGACTGACTACGGTCAGCACTGCACTTGAACTTCTTTCTTTCCCCAACTGTAAAGCTACGTAGGTACACACACCCCAAAAAGTATCTTCACGGAGGGGCCTGTTGTCTAGGTAGGGCTGTCAAAACCTATCGTCCGTTGTGTCGTAATTATCTAACGCAAAATCGAGAAGACATCCTTTGGAGAGAGCGTTCTGTTGCCATCACTTATACCTAGTACAGTGGCTGGTGTGTTTTGTGGGATGTGGCAACTCTGTGGAATACAGTACTTATCTAGCAGTATCACCCAAAGCCTTGCTACAATTGTGGGGTTCCTTAGAGCCGTTCCGGGAGTTTTAATATGATGTAAACAAAGACAAATATGCCACATCTCACAAAAGGCACCAGTCACTGTACCAGGTATAAGTGCAGGCGACTGTACATATGTATAGTTGGGTGGACTAGGGGGTTCTGAACACAAAGAAGTGATTATAACGAGATGACGTGAGTGTCGTGTCTTCTCAGCCCTCACATCACTTTCTTAGACATGAAAAGAGAATACTGAATAATATTAGGAATTATTCCCATGAAAACGTAAATTGTTCAGGTTATTTTTTCCTTGCATCTGAAATATAATTCTTACAGTCATACAATATTGTTAACCCAACCTAGCCAGCTTTCCTTTGTGGTTATTGATGAGTCAGTGTATTCATCAACTCTCACTCACTTACTCACTCACTCACTCACTCAGTACCTCTCTCTATCACCTGTCTGGATGTATTAATTAAGGAATAGATAAAGGTGTTATTTCATTGTTCACATTCCCTTCAAAATATTCTATACATTTTTTTTAAGGTTTACGTGTATTTTGGTTTTCAATTTATTCTACAAGTTGACTTTGTTATTGTTGTTGTTAATCTATAGTTACCTGTACTAACTTAACCTAACCTAACCTAACCTAATATAATAGCATAACATATTAACATAACTTTACCCAAACTTACTTAACCTAACTTAACGAGATACCTGCTATTGTTTTTATGAGAGGAAAACAAATGCATGGTACTGATAACATGTTCATATGGATAACAGAGCATTTTAGTTTAGTAGCAGTCATTATTCATATCCATATAACAAAGCATTATATTATTATTAGTTGATGTAATGAATAAATATACAATTTTAAGTTCAATTCATAATGTAAACAACTAGTGGGTGATGTGAACTAATACTTAATAAGCCCACAAGTTCTTCACCATAACATGTTAACAAAATTGAAGACGCATATTACACACTGATCATAGTAAATTTGCTGGTGAATAACTGTTGGCGTTTAGCATCAATGATAATACTTCACAAGGCTGACATGAGCCCTCTGTGATCAAACATTATAAGCTGAACGGTACTTCCCAGCTGCCCACTCTCCCTCCTCCTATGTATTATTTTTTCACCAATTTAATCCTCCATCATACCATCTCTACTTAAAATCACTCCCAAATAATTATAATCTTTCTCCTGCTTTATTATTTCAATCTTCTACCTAATATATCTGATTATCATGGAGCCACACTGCCAGACTACTTCCTGACAAAGAATTACCTAACTCTCTCTAGTTTTACCTTCATGACTCTTTTAACACAGTGATTGTTTGTATTATGGTGAAATGTTGTGAACTACATTCGTGCAGAGTGTAACGCAATTCGGATAATAACCATACAGTGCACTTACTAACTGACGTATAATGTATAATGGAATGGAATGGAATCAGTAATTAACGAGTGTCTCACTTTTACAGGTTTTGACCATATCAATCAATAAACGTTGAGTGAGTTCACGTTGTGGGTTTCTCTCACCCTTAAGATGTGACGTTGTCTAACTGTCGAACCATTCGGCAGTTAAACTAACCTTAGCTGATAAGAAACACAAGCAGCCAAAGAGTTGTTAGCAGACTGCACCATCCTAACCAAAGAAACCTACTTAACCTTACCTAACTTCCAAGCCATGGGATTCCTTTTTTTTTTGAGGGGGGGGGGGGTGAATAACTCTAAAACGGGTACTTTCTCCCGGAAATAAAGGTCAATTTCAATTAAATCAGACCAAAATAAACAGGATTAACTAATTTATAAACTACTTAGGCATATTGGCTGAAATTGCAATATTACCATTTACCCAAGTTGCAGCCAAAACCTGAACTCTTTTTTTCAATATGAGTTATCAACAACAATTCTAAGTCCTACCAACACCAACCTTTAAGACTCCTTCCAGTATCAACAATCCTTCAGCCGATGGTAACTGGTAGATAAATATCAAGTCTGACATCTGGTATCAAACCCCGGTAATTTTGGCTGACTCACACACAAATATTTCATATTTTACATTTCTAATTTTCTGTTTACATATCACTACATTCTTCACATTTGTCAAGTCTGCTGTACGGCAAAGGTTACATTCATATATGCTTATATTTTTTTCTGCTTTGGAAATGAGTGACATTTTTAATGGCAACTCTCCCTGGAGTACACCTAAACATTCTTGCTTGTCCCATTACTTACTTAGTCATGACTAGTTAATATACCAAATTTTCAGTTTTATTGGTACAATTCCAAGTTCTACTTTCAGTTATAGTCACCTGATAACAATAAATATCTATATTTGCATCTAAATGCATTGTTTTCACTGTATCACGAACACTGTTTACACACAGAGGACTCAAGGAGGATGATCATGTTCAACTATTCGTCCTCATGTACACTATTGAGTGTTATACATACTGTGTCCACACCAACTCTCCATCTCCAGCTATAATAAAAATCCCCGAAAATTTATGAATATTTCACAAATAAAACTCTCGGTAATTTTCCTGAGATAATAAGTTGGCTTCAATTTATTATAGAACATATGAGGTTCATGAGCGCAAGTGTCGTCAAGTGCAGTACTTTATTACCAAATTCCATTAATTATTCATAAATTCATTATTCAAATCAAAGGAAAGTCGAGGATATTATGAGGTAAGGGGAAGAAGGACTTAAAATAAGTAAACTATAAAACAAACTGCGGCAGCCATAGTAATATAGTTGACCCTATAATTATTTCATTTTCTTCCATAACCTCATAGAAAATATTATAAGGGTAACTGATTAATCACATTTAAAGGCTTTAAACAATAGAAGGTAAATAAAAACAATAATTTTATAGTTTTATCAAGTAAAATATTTCGTATAGATAATCTTTACATAGCTCTCTGTATTCAGTGTGAAGTAAAATAAATTCATTTGTAGAAAAATCACGTTTTCTTAAAATTAATTCGTATATATAGGAGACCACACTACAGGTCACAGCCTTAAATTAAAGAAGTTACGAGTACAGAAATCTGAGATGAAGATTCTACTGGCGATCAGAACTAACTTCTGTACAGTAAATATTGTGAACCCTTGCAGTAACCTTCCAGAGAATGTTGTAAAGGCACCGAATAAGAATTATTTTTAGTCCAAACTTGACCAACACTGGAACATGACTAGATGCAGGCAAGAGCCCATACTTTATATGTCCACTACTTGCTAACAGTATATATAAAAGAAAAACAGACTGACCTAATCGTCTAGTTGGCTAACAAATGGCGAAGAGGATAAAGATAGTGGTATCTATATGAGAAATTTTAAAGTTTGCGCTTAAATGGAATGATTTTGAGTAACTGAACTAAGACTAACAAAACTTAACCTAACCTGACGAAATCTAACCTAACCACACCGAACTAGGTCCACCCTAACCAAACCTCAGGCAACCCAATCAAACCTAATCTTATGACCCTAGAGTTAATATGGGTAGATTTACACTGGTATATAGTGTTTCGTCTATTTTCACAACATTAGTATATGTATACTTATCAAGGCTACTCGTGGTACTTTCCCATCAGTGTTCATTAAACTACAACAGAAATTTCATTGCATTTTTTTTTATTCGGCTACCATAACAAGCAGCTGTTTCCTGGATACTCAATTTTTCACAAACAAACATTCCTGAAGTTTGATATATTGGTAAACAGTGGACAAGAGCGCCACCACCATAATTATCGTCGTTAGAAACTGAGAAATAATCACGTCTTATCACCTCTCATATGTGGACTGTCCCAGCGGTATTTTCAGTGTTTATCTCAGGTCTAGACCACAACCTTGACAGATATAAAAATTAAGCAAACACAAAAATCTGAAGACGTTCACTGTGGCAGCTGCTTATATCTGAGAACCAAGACTGATAGTAAATTATTCCATTTTTCAAGACGGAGTTACTTGAAATTACAGAATATAAGGTTTGGAAAAGTGAAACTGTTCAGGCATGTTATCAACGTATCAGAAGCACATTGTTGTCACCTTATGTCTTATGTAGAGAGGCCTGATTTTGACCAACTACAAATCTGGGGAAACATAACAATAAGTTTTCTATATATGTGAGGTACTTTTTATTCTTTTTTGCTTTCATTGTTGTCTATGAAACCACGACTAACTTTCTTCTCTATTTTCCCTTTGAGCAACAGACAGCAACAGTCGCCCTGCACCATGAAAAGGTTACATCATCGAAGGAACAGTGGGAAAACTCATCTGATTCTTTCAAGGTGGCATCATTCCCATCTGCGATAAACTAACCTGCGATGCCATATCAACAATAACCTCTACCTCACAACACTAAATTAACCACATTCATCAACTTACAATAATCAAACGCTTCTATTGCCCAAAATAAGGCAATAATAATTTCAGTATTTTGATGTAAATTTGGGTAAACATACAAAACGGAATGAGAGTGAGAGAGAGATGCGGTGACTGTGTGTTGAGGGGGTCCAAGTCCCCCAGCCAGCACAACTATGTATATGAGGCCATCACACGCTACGGTTCACACACTCGCCGCCATGAAGACCCATGTGTTGTTTGTCCTGCTGGTTGGAGGAGCTCTTGGTAAGTAACTGTCTCGGAATTACCTGAGAGTTGGGGTATTGCTGTAATGGAGCTATCAGGATGGTACTGCTGAAGGTGCCAGAGCTAGGTACGACAGGCATTCTAACACACTATTTTAACATATTCCACAGCGGCTCCTTCGACTCGTTCCCGTCCACACCGTCCCATCCACCCCCTGACGATCGTAGGCGGAAACAACGTGACCCTGGGAGAGCTACCATACCAAGTCAATCTTCAGGATATCTCCTACGGGTTTCCATACCACTTCTGCGGCGGATCTATCAAATCCGAGCTCTGGGTGGTGACGGCGGCTCATTGTGTCGACGATATTGATGCAAACAATCCCGATTTTATCCAGGTTAAGTGTTTTAGCTTTACTGTTTTGATGTTAACGTTAATGATGTGTTAAGGTGGTTTGAATGTATTATTACGGGTTGGTAATCTTATACGTAGTTAGACAGAAACATTCCCACTTCTACACACTAATTAGTTGTTTTTCTTAACATATAACACCATTCATACTCATAACCATATATCACCATTCACAACACTATCAATTACATCATCACCCATATCATTACTCACACACACCACAATCCCCATCACCACCCACCCCAACAACAACCAATCAGACCATCGCTACCCACACAGTCACTCGTCACACTATGACCATCTACATCATGTTATGGCAAACTATACACCAAGAATGGATGGGTCATGAATTAATCGCTCCATAGCCTCGTAATTTTTCCTCACAAGAAATTACATCCGAGTAGCATTGTGTGAGGGAGGAGGAAGAGGGAAACTTCGTGGTATACTGACCAGGGTTGTGTTGCAGGCTGTGGCGGGGGAGGTGGACCAGGTAGTCAACGAAGCATCAGAGCAAGTCATCATCCTCTCCCGTATTATTATCCATGAGAATTACGATGGATTTGCCATCATCAACGACATCGCCCTCCTGAAGCTCTCAAGTTCTCTTACCTTCAACGAGTTCGTGCAGCCCCTCCCACTGCCTCCCGTTGACCACAACTCCCAGGGAGACTGTGTCGTGTCAGGCTGGGGCTCCACGACCGAGGGAGGCGATCCTTCAGAAATCCTGCAGAAGGTCACTCTCCCGGTGTGGTCAGATCATGACTGTGGTAATGCGTACCCGAACGAAATCGAAGCGGGTATGTTCTGTGCCGGGGTGACAGACGGAGGCCAGGACGCATGTGGGGGTGACTCTGGCGGGCCCCTGGCCTGTGACGACCTACCCGAGAGGTACCTGGCCGGTATAGTGTCGTGGGGGTATGGGTGCGGCCAGCCAGGCTTCCCCGGCGTGTACACTAAGGTATCACACTACGTGGATTGGATCAACAGTCACGCCGTGTGAGGAGACCTGCTTCTTTGTGTGTGTCTGTGTGTGTGTGTGTGTGTGAGTGAGAGAGAGAGAGAGAGTCCGTCTGCTGTGCTCTTTTTAGGAGACTTTTATGGTATACTGAAACAAGAATGTCTCTAATTAATACACCTAACGTGTTTTTTATTTAACCTGAATGTGACCTCACACACCATCCCTACGACCACACACAAGAGGAAAGAGTGCTCACCATTCATCCACCCAACTCAACATCTATAGTCAGCTCTTGAGAGAAAAAAAAACTACTTTCTACAACAGCTAATAAGATGTAGCATGACCTTGAAATAGTTCTCAGTGAAGATCAATATTCTGTGAGTTGTAGATGAAGTTGTTTAGTGAAGATCATCTAAATATACTAACCCCTTGTGTACCGGACCCCATCTGAGCTGAATAACATCGTCTAACCTAACCTAACCTAACCTAACCTAACTTAACCTCATCTAACCTAACCTATCCAAATAAAACATTAAAAGTAGCATCCCAGTAGTGAAGGTGTCAGTGGGAATACGCTACTTAAGCTAAAAAGTGTTAGCTATGAAACCCCGGCTATATTTCTTGATAAATTAGACTCGATACACTAAAACCTAACCTCACCACACAACCAATGCATTAAACACCCAGAAAAAGGGTCAATTATTTCATTTTCTCAGTGTACTTTTCTCACCCATGAAATAAGATCCTATAATTTCCTCCTAAGGCTAGGTACTCTTACGTCACTGGCAAGGCTCTTGATTTGGTTAGGTTAGGCAGTCACTATGTCGATCACTCAATATATCTATCTATCTATCTATCTATCGACTCTATTCGTATACTGTAACTGCACTTCCCCCAATCCCTCATGGCAATACGTCACTCCTTCCCCGCATGGCAACACGTCACTCCTTCCCCGCAGGGCAACACGTCACTCCTTCCCCGCAGGGCAACACGTCACTCCTTCCCCGCAAGACAACACGTTACATTACTCCTCTCCATGGCAACACGTCTCTCTCTCTCTCTCTCTCTCTCTCCCTCCTATTGGCGTCACTACCTCGATACATCAAACCTTGCCACTGTTTCATCAGCCCGAGAGAGAGAGAGAGAGTTGGACACGTTACCATACTTGAGATTATTTTTTTTTATCCATTATTATTCACAGATCCCTAAACTATTTTTCCTATAGGTTAGGTTAGGTTATCAATTAATCATAGTGTTATTTTTCATGTCTGAGGGTTGGAGACTACAGCCCTCTATCAGGATTAATAATAATAAACAAAGTTAAAGCCATGTTGTACCCGTAAAGCATTATTAAAACCATTGATCTTTTACTGATATTTTTGGATAATACATTAAAGTCTTCTATAAAGGTTCAGTCATCGGAGCGTCGATAATAAGCCTAAAACTACGACTGGTGACGTAAATTAAGGTAAAACATGTGATTAGACTATGGGATAAAGACACCTGTTGTTCCTCTCACCTCTAGCTGTCCCATACGTTGCTGGGAAGAGTAATAACTTGACAACTATATCTTTATTCTACAACCCTGAACTAGATAAAACACCGACGAGGAAAATAAAGGAAATGTATTTTTCACTCTGTCACACTTTAATACCACCATGATTCGAGATGGCTACGGTAAATAAGTTGATGGTTGGAAATACACTGAGGTGACACTATCTATGGTTGCTGGGATAAAAGGGGAGGACCTGGGGGCATACAACGAGCCACAGACACCTCAGTTAAAGACAAGAACTTCCTGACGATGGTAAGATCCACTGACGAAGACTTACTTAATCCCCCTGTGCTTCTGGTCATCTCACGAGCCAGTGGGACGGTCGGCCAATTCTCAGTTACACTAATAATATTAATAATTAACGGTTTATTGAAGGAGCATAGCAGCCAGAAGGCTGAAAATATACAGTTACATAATGGGGGAATGGGTTTCGATTTTCAAATAATATACAAGTAACATAAGTGATGACACTACTTGGGTTCACAGGATGATGTCACTACTTGGGTTCACAGGATGATGTCACTACTTGGGTTCATAGGATGATGACACTACTTGGGTTCACAGGATGATGTCACTACTTGGGTTCACAGGATGATGACACTACTTGGGTTCACAGGATGATGTCACTACTTCGGTTCATAGGATGATGACACTACTTAGGTTCACAGGATGATGTCACTACTTCGGTTCACAGGATGATGACACTACTTGGGTTCTGGGATGATGTCACGACTTGGGTTGATGATGACACTACTTCAGGATGATGTCACTACTTGGGTTCATAGGATGATGTCACTACTTGGGTTCACAGGATGATGACACTACTTGGGATGGGATGATGTCACTACTTTGGTTCACAGGATGATGACACTACTTGGGTTCACAGGATGATGACACTACTTCGGTTCATAGGATGATGACACTACTTGGGTTCACAGGATGATGTCACTACTTGGGTTCACAGGATGATGACACTACTTGAGTTTTCCTTATGTGTGAATAGCAGATCTCTTCTCTAATGCAGTATATCGTACTACTGTACATACCAATACACTATACAGTACCATGAAACTAATTCTTCTTGTGTATATCCATAGCTGCTAACCCCTTGGTCAGGTCTGGCTGTGAGGAATGGTTGGACTTGATAGGATTCAGTAATGAAGTTTGGCTCGTCTTTGTGAGGTCTGGCTGGGAGATGTGTCTTACCCTTCCGAGTTCTGGGAGGGAGGTGCGGTGGCCAACGGTAATCTGAAGGGGAAAAAATATATATGTATTTTATTATGTTAGTTGTGTAAGATAAGACATCCACACACACACACACACTGACCTTGTTATAGATGCTGCGAGTTCGACTGAGTGACGCAGTATGGTCAACCTCCACTGTACCAAGCGCCAATTGGGTTATTCTCTCGGGTGACTCTCCCTTCTGGCACAACAAGTCGAACTGGATGTGTTCCTTTATACCCATTATATAACTGTGAAGACGTTTACCCTATTGAGAGAGGATAATAATAATAATAGCAACAACAACCATAATGATAACAAAAATAATAATAATAATAAAGCAATAATAATAACAAAAAAAGTATAATAACAAAAATAACAATAATAACGCAGAGCTCAAGCAAGGGCGGATCCAGGGATGTTCAGTAAGGGGGTTCAGGGGGTCCGGAAACCCCCCTTTTCAGAAAATAGATACCTGGAACCCTCGCTCATACACCAACACACCCCCTCCCCCAACCTGTTTATGATTACTGCGTTAATTAATTTATCTAATGTGGCATCTTACCTACACACCCCCCCACATACTTACACACACACACACACCCATCACACACACACACACCCACACACACACACCACCCACACACACACACCCACACACACCACACACACACACACACACGCACCTTACACACACACACACACACACACACACACACACACACACACACCTCACACACACACCCCCCACCATACACACCCCACACACACACACACGCTGTTTGGATCCACCCCTTTCTATATTATAACCCCCTACTATAAATCTTAACCTAACCTAAACGCTCCTACTGTTATGACACGCCCGAGGTCGGCCCCACTCACCCTATCGGTACCAAAGATGAACATTCCTTCTCCTGTCGGGGCCCTGCGTCCAGCCTCGAAGTAGAATAACTTTTCGGTGAAGCCAAACTTTCGAATGACGGTAAATGCCCACTTGTACGATGAACAGTTACCCTTCAGCAGGCTAATATGGCCATCTTTAACCAGTAGAGTAAGCACTTCAGCTTTATCCAGACCTAGACGTTTTCCCCCGTCTCGGCTTACTGTGACAGGTAACTGCAACTCTTCTACGGAGAGAGAGAGAGAGAGACAGACAGACAGAATCAGTTAAAATCGTCAAAAAAAGTTCACATTGCTTAAGCCTGTGTCATACTGAGTACAGGTAAACAGTGTATTTATACAGTGTAGGTATACAAACATTGTCTATTGTTCAAGTATACAATGTGTAGGTGTACAAACAACAGTAAATGCTAAATCGATTCGACCAAGGGTAGTTCACACAGGTGTAAGGTCAAGAAAGTTCCATTAGTTTAGTTTAGTTTAGTTTGAAACACACTGTACACAAAGTCAAGAAACCCATTTCAACTATAGTCAGGTCTGGAAACACATTCATTCTTAACCAAAAAATATCCCCACATTTATTCTATAGACTCTGGGAACTGGTTAATCTTCACTACACACCTTGTTCTGGCATCGGGAATGGTTTGAAAGAGATTTCCAACCCTCTTCTGAACCTTTTAGAGTGTTCGTTCGTGGCACTGAAATCATCTCGACTCCATGGCGCGTTCGTGTAACAGTATTGAGGCATCTGGAAAAAAAAACATTGATATTGAATTAAGATTTTTTTTTGTCAATGTTGATCATGTTCAAATGACGTTCATGCGTACTGTACGTGATTTTTTCGTAATTGGTGACAATCGAGTCACCGTGATTTTTCTCTCGTCTGGTAGAAGTGCAGCGTACGTGAATATTTTTCCTTCTCTGGGAGTGTTGGTGTGTACTTGAACAGATTTCAGGCTTGCCCCACAAGGGGGCAAGTTTATTGAGCACTCCCTTGCATCCTGTGCAAGGCGAAGCACAAAAGCGTTTACAGCGCCCAACAGGGAAGCATGCATAGTTCATACTTGGGCGGCAGGGGAGGAGGGAGAGGGTAATTTGATCCTTGCTAGCGCAAAAGTGCTGTCACTGATGATAAGGGGATTCCGGCGTTCAGTGCAGACATAGGTCGCGCCTTCACGAATGCCCGCAAGGATGGCTATGCTTTCAGTGTTAATGGAGGAGGCCCAATCATGGACCCTGGTTTTTCCTGCGGACCTGGCGCTCAGGGATCCACACGGCTGCACCAGCGCCGCCCAGCGTGACAACAGACCCATCACAGTCGACAAGGAGAGGGGGTGGGAGGTCATGAGAGAGTAGGCGACATCATCACCCTGCTCGAGGCCGCTAAGTTTGAGTATATATCTTAGTACATCTCAATAGTCCATAAACACGCGGACTTCCATATACAATCAATACCTCACTAGTCGGGAATCGTAGCCTGGACTTCTGCGTGTGGCGCAGCGGTAGCGATCCCTGTTCACACGCAGAGATCCAGGGTTCGATTCCCGACTAGTGAGATATTGTTTGTATATATCTTAGTAAGTGAACGCTTTCCTTTGTCCTGTAGTGCTGGGAATCAGCGTGACCTTTCCATCTTGTCTGTCAGCGTTCGTAAGCATATAGTCTTTTGTCAGCAGTCGTGTACAACACCCCCAACACATCACACAACATCCCAACACATCACAAAACACCCCCAACACATCACCAACATCCCAACACATCACAGACCACTACAGAACGCGGGAAATGGGAGATGTATATATAAATTCAAAGGATAAACCCGTTCGTTCCCATCCGCGGAAGGAAAGAATTCGTGTCCCAGATGATAGTGCTTCCTGGGAGAAAAAAACAATTACGATAAAGTCAGTATTGAAGTAGTACAGTTTTAACTTACCTTTAACCTAATCTAATCTAATTTAACTTAATTTAACCTAACCTAACCTACTCCTGTTTAAATCGTTTTGATATTAACTTTATTTGTAACATATTAATTTGAGCGAGACATACAGACAGACACACACACACACACACAGAAAGAGAGAGAGAGAGAGAGAGAGAGAGAGAGAGAGAGAGAGAAAGAGAAAAGAGAGAGAGAGAGAGAAAAGAGAGAGAGAGATGTACTGAACTGTTCTCTCTGACCAATGTTAACGTTCCCGTGTTCACTAAGGAGTCACCATACTGTCACAACACATACATCTGTTAATTAATTCAGACACAACAACCACTGGCCATGTTGTAATTAAGGGTTATTGAGTAGTTTAAAGATTATCTTTGTTACCCATCATATACACACTGGTGCTACAACACTCCAACCTAACCTAATCCAATCTAACTTACCCTAACCTAACACAACCCAATCTAACCTACGCAAGTCTAACCTACCCTAGCCTTAATCCAATCTAACTTACCCTAACCTAATAACAAAACAACAATAACAACGAAACAACGATAACAACAACAAAGCAACAATAACAACACTAACAAAGCAACAACAACTAGCGAAATCCAAATTACTGTAGAAAAAATACAATATATGAAAGACAACAAAGTGGGAAAAAAATATCGAGATTAAACGGAAAACAGGAAGTGAAAACTAGGTTCTGGATACGCCCGGAGATGTCCTAGGTGGTCCTGAGAGGTCCTGAGGGATCCCTAGAGGTCCTGGGGGATCCCGAGAGGTCCTGGGTGGTCCTGGGAGGTCCTGGGGGATCCCGAGAGGTCCTGAGAGGTCCTGGGGGATCCCGAGAGGTCCTGGGTGGTCCTGGGAGGTCCTGGGGGATCCCGAGAGGTCCTGAGAGGTCCTGGGGGATCCCGAGAGGTCCTGGGTGGTCCTGGGAGGTCCTGGGGGATCCCGAGAGGTCCTGAGAGGTCCTGGGGGATCCCGAGAGGTCCTGGGTGGTCCTGGGAGGTCCTGGGGGATCCCGAGAGGTCCTGAGAGGTCCTGGGGGATCCCGAGAGGTCCTGGGGGATCCCGAGAGGTCCTGGGTGGTCCTGAGAGGTCCTGGGGGGTCCTGAGCGTTCCTGCATATAGCCTTGAAACGTCCTAAGCAATCCTGAAAGGTCCTGAACACCCCTGAGAGGTCTTAGGTGGTCACCGGTGGTCTTGCGGTCCTGTGTAGTTGTAGGCGGTTCATTTCCGTGGTTTCGTTTGCTCTATCAAACAATTACTGTGAAGCTTCGGTCTGTGGAAGCTGTGGTCTGTGGAAGCTTCGGTCTGTGGAAGCTGTGGTCTGTGGAAGCTTCGGTCTGTGGAAGCTGTGGTCTGTGGAAGCTTCGGTCTGTGGAAGCTGTGGTCTGTATAAGCCTACACGTTCAACTATGGTCTTCGAGCGAGTCATTTACTTCACTCGTCAACACAGCACGTCACACCGTCAGCACCACAATACGTTACATCACAACACTCCACATCCACATCAGAACACAGCAGAGAACACCGAAACACAGCATTGCATTGGTTTATATAAGACACAGTACATGACACCACCACAACATTGCTGTTGGGTCTCCTTACCACAAGACTTGAAGGTACTGTACGCCTTAACACAGCCCCAACTAATGCTGTACTTCAGGGGTTGCATCCGTGCCGCCTCTACGTCCGCTAGTTGTCGTAACTAACACATAGCACAAGTAATCAATCTACCATTTCAAGACTGACAGAAGCCCCGGAAATCAAACATCCGCTCTCTGGTTTGTTACTGATATAGTTCCATCTATCTATGCTTTCGTCGATTATATAGCCGTTTTCTTCTTGTCTCAAAATTGTCCACTCTGTATGAGAACTATATCGGAAGTTACTGGCGTCACTGTGTGTGTGTGAGAGCCTTTCTGCCAGACGTACGATTCTTCTTATATTTCTGAATAACGTCATTAAATCAAAACAAAACCTATGAAATAAAAAAACTAACCCCATGAAAAAACTAAAGTCATGACACAAACGAAGTTCATGAAATAACAATTAAGATCATGACCCAAATTAATGTCATGAGGTAAAAACTAGTCACATCAAAATAATATTATGTGCTTGTAAAAACGAAAGCATATCACCGGATGGGACATGTACAGTACTTGGGTCACTACCCACAAAAGTTCTGTCGTCTCTCGTGGACCACGAACTCCCAGAGATTCAGACTCATGAAGCTGAAGCATTTATGGATATAATAATACATCACTTTGGGGTCACGAGTCTGAATCTCGGGGTTCGGGGTTCAGGAGGAGAGGTGATTGGACTTTTGTGGTTGACTGCACTTCGAAATCAGTTTGATATTAATTAAGCATGTGACAGTGGACAAATAGGATAGAATAGTACATTTATAGAGCTGCATCTTCTTCCTAGACACGCTCTCTTAACACCAATCACTGGACAAAACTACACAGGGACTCCACCTTAACTTAGATACGGTCACTTAAAACCAATCACTGGATAAAATACAGTTGAACTCTTTGAGCAATGGGTTTAACTTTGAACAGGTTAATGTAAACAACGCAGTTATCAATATACAAAGATAGTGTAGGTATACGAACAATGATAAAGAGAAAGTCGATTTGTCCCAGTGTAGTCCAACCAAGCCACCAGAGTGTGTATGTGTGTGTATGTGTGTATGTGTGTACACGCTTCCCCCACAGGATGTAACTATGAAGTTGTCGGAAACGAGATAGTAAACATCAGGGATTCCACAGGGATTAGAGAAGGTTTGGTTTGGTTTGGTGCTCTGCTGTCCTAAGAATATTTCCCACTATATAACTGGTACATTCTTAAACATGATGACCGCAAAAAAGGCCGCCAAAAAATACCGTAAGAAAGACGGCAAAAAATACCATAAAAAGACCGCAATAAGCACACAACAAGCACCACAACAAACACCGCAAAAAAGACCTTAAGAAACACCTGAATAAATGCCTCAAGAAAAACCGAAAGAAAAAGTTAGCATTACGGTATTGAAGATGGTAGCATTAGCTTAAATTAAAAATTAAAAAATAAAAGTTATTGCTGATATCCATACAGAAAATAAACACAGAAAACTTTCCATTTTCATAGAAAACTTTACTTAACAGCATATACTCATATAAGACTTTCGTGTAAGCAAAAATTTCATTATAAAATCCTACACTAAATATCCCATTTCATTACCGCTTCCGATTTTGTATTTTCATGAGTAATATATGCACCAACTATATAATGAGAATTGATTTCGCCATTAAAGGCGCATTTCTATCCTTGGCAAGTCCTACTAACGTAAACTGAAAACGCCTAGAAATAACCTTATTTAGAGATACATTACCTTATTACTGAAACAAAGATTCTGTACTTAATTTTGTCCACTAATTAATGTTAATATAACGTAGCTAAGTGAGAATCCCAATGTCATTTTGTCTAGAGAGGTTAAATCCTCGTCCTCAGAATTAAACCATCGTCCTCAGAATTAAATTATCATTCTCAAGTGATTGAAATTACTTGTCACAATCTTTAACCCAAGTTCTCAAAGTTCCGAAATTTCCTTTTGATTTAGCTTATTCAGGTGACGGAACAGAGCTGGCGAACGCTCGCCCCACAAGGGGGTCACAGCTCAAGGTTAAAGAAGTCGCAGGCCCAGAAAACTGCGAGGGCAAACTTTTTCGAAGTGAGAGTTGTGAACTGTTGGAACAATCTACCAGAAAGTGTTGTGACGGCACCGAGTGTGAGCTATTTCAAGACCAGACTTGACCAACACTGGAGCAGGTTCAGGTACATTCAGGAGTCGGTGCATGCCCAGTACTTGCCAACAGTGCGTAACAGAGACGTGACCGATCGCCCCAGCGGCTAACGAGCCGATCAGTGGTGGAAGAGGATAAAATGAAAATGAAAAGGAGACTGCACTTGAGACTCCATGTTACGCTACGATGTTATTTTGTCCCGTTATTTTGGAGTTATCTTGAGTGTCTTACTTGAACCGTGACATTTAATATCCTAACACTTGTCCCAAACCTCAACCCCGCGACAAACGTTTTTTCAAGATCTACGTTCAATATATTTTAGTTCGTGAATTATGTAGTACTAATTATGTATATTTGGATTTAATTAAACACCTCATTAAGACTACTCACTTAAATGAACGTGGAATGTTTTCAGGGAGAGAGGAGACTGAACGAAGACCATCACTAGCGAACACAGTGGAAGGCGAGTGAGGGGGGGACGGCCGGGGAGAAAGGAGAGGAAGGCACAGGTTGGAAGAGGATATATATCCCCCTCTTTCCTCCCCCCTTCGTTATCTTAACCTCGTCACTCATTCCCTACAAGACAGAGTTACTGGACGCTTCGTCAATCATGGCCCTCGTTACTTCAGGCCCACCACTCATCATCTACAGGGCGATAAAACTAATATGGATCCCTTATAGTCGAGGCAAGGAAACTTCAGTACTCTGTCGGTCTGAATTTTAAAGTTCTTTTGCGGCCAACTGAGAAACTCATACTCGCCATGAACAAGTGGATGACAAGCTACGGTGTTTATGAGTAGTGGTGAAGTGTGATGAACAAGTGGATGATGACAAGCTACGGTGTTTATGAGTAGTGGTGAAGTGCGATGAACAAGTGGATGATGACAAGCTACGGTATTTATGAGTATAGTGGTGAAGTGTGATGAGCAAGAGGATGATGACTTAAGCTATGGTGTTACTATGATGTGAGTGCCCTGATGTTGATAACCTAAGTCCCCACGTAAATACTATTGGTTTAGTCGAGGACCTTTGAACCTCAACACGACTCCTTGCCACACTGAACCCTGTTGCAGCCATAGTCGTACCCTGTCGCAGCCATGTCGTTCAGTCGCCCTCGAGCTGCGATCCAGGTAAACGACCACAACATCTTTCGCTTACTTAAGGCGCATGTTACTGAGGCTCGTCTAGTTATGCACAACATCCTCAGGTGGGGCTGTCAGAAGAGCCAAACTCAGACCTTTGAGGATTATATAATAAATGATTTGGGTGTTGCTCGTAACATATACAACAAACGATTAGACAGAAAACAAAAAGAAAGCATTAAATCTAATCCTGTTGGCAGTAAATTTGACATAACTCTGTTGTATAAGATTATCCAAATTGCATGTCACTCACTAGCTCCATTCTATGACAGTAAGTGGACTGATGACGACCCCACACGACTGGAGTTTCTGTTAACTTGTATAAAAAACTCCCGCAACGATCTGGCACACGGCGTCACACAGTGCAATAAAACGGAAATGGTGGAAAGGATAGAACAACTGAGAGACCTACTGAAGAATACCGTGAAAATTGGCGGAGAACTGTATGGTGTTGATCCTGTGGAAGTAAAAGACCTGACGTCTGAGATTAACACCAACCTCAACAATATAAGAGACCAACCCTTCACACACGACAACATAAATCAGTATCGCCAGGCCGTGTTGTTCGACAGCCTGAGATCTGTCATGTGTGACAACGGAACCACAGAGTTAGGGAGAACACACAGTAAAAAGGTCTACCTCAACCCTCTCTCACTCATAAATGACAGTCAGTGTCACTTTCATGTGAGGGCCATCTTCACTGGCCTTCTCATTCAGAGCGTCAGGGCTAACAGAAGACACGTATCGGTTAACTTTGAAGACTTGTTGGATTACTGTGACCCGTCATTCAGCGTTACTCCTGTAGACGAGGACTACGTTGGTGACAGCATTAGAGAGGTGCCTGATGATGTAGTAAAAGCTTCGGTACTTCTCCTCGAGGGTCGTGTAGGGAGTGGGAAGACCACTTTGTTAAAGATGGTCATGTCAGAGTGGATCACAGGATCAGGAGCCGTCAAAGGTCTGTCTGTTTACGACCTCTTGTTCTACGTGAAGTGCAGCGACTCCACCACAGACTCCCTCACCAAGCTGCTCACGCTGGAGATGCCTGAGACGGCCTCGAGGTTTTGTGAGTATGACTTACTTCAGATTCTATTAAGCCTCAAAGTTTTAGTCTTAATGGATGGCCTGGACGAGCTCAGTCAATCCTCGGAGAAAATATTCAGAGAAATTCTCGCTGTTATGAATTCTTCTAATATAACCCTGATCTGTACAACAAGACCAGAGAAGATTAAAGAGATCAAAACAATTGTGTCAGACAAAGTAAACATCGTGCGCTTAAAGATACAGGGGATACCACGGGAGAAGAAGCAGGACTTTGTGAGAGTTTATCACGAGGAGCTGAGACAAAAACGTTTGAGTGACCAGGACACGGAGCGCCTCGTACAGTTCGTGGGGGAGGCGCCAGTACACTTACAAGACTTCTTGACACATCCCCTAAACCTTGTGCTGTTGTCCTTCCTTTGGGTCAGAGTGCAGGGAAAGATAAGTCAGTTAACATCAAGCACAATGTTATATATCGAGATTCACGAACTTCTGAAGGAGAGGATGTACGAGAGACTGAAGCAAAACGCCATAACACAACACTTACCCATTACACAAATACAGGAGAAGTGTAAACAGCTCCTTAGTGTCTTGTATCAAGCAGCTTTAAACTCAGTGTGGCGGAAAGCAATTTCTTTGGATCCGAAAATTACGCACAAGCTTTCAGATCAGTGCTCGAGGCTAGAATTGCCTCCAGAGGAAGTACTTTCAACCTTCCTGGTGTCTGTGTTGATCGACACACCCGGCGGATACGTGAATCAGCTGAGCTTTCCTCACAAGGGCATCCATGACTTTTATGCCGCCAACCATGTGATAGAGTTGATAAGAAATACGTTCTACGAGGGAGATGGAAGCATTCTGGGTGAACTTAAAAGTTTGTTCAGAAAAGTGGGTTTGTCAAATTATAAAATTCAACAGATGCCCAACAGCACCGCGGACCATAGAAAGCAACGTACCATCCGCCAGATTCTAAATAAACTTCACAAAGATGACCAACAGTCTTTTCAAATCAGCATATACAGAAATGTTTTGCACCACCTTGTTGGACTTCTCAAAGTCGACGGTCCTGATGCCATAAAACAACACGCCCAGGAAGCCGTGGAACTCTTGAAGTCGACGAACATGTCATTTGAACAACTAGTGGACATTCTCACTGAAACTGACTGTAACATGGATCTGGCAAAGGAAGTGTCTAAATTTCTCCCAAAGAAGGAGTGGACGGTCACAAACGAACACGTTCAAGCAGCAGCCAGTCTTCTTTGCTTCAACAGTCCCCGTCGTTTGATCATCGACATAATGGACGACCCAAACCAAATAGCGCACTTGGAGAGCTTAATGGAGGCAACATCACGGTGCAATTGTGTAGTGCAGCTGTACCTTCACCATCACTGGCGATACCCAAACGCTGGCTCATCCGACTCCTTCCTCAGCATACTGGTAACCGGCAAACGTCCAGTCAACACATCAGGTCACGGGTCACAAGACGACTTCCACACACAGGACCTCCCATCAGGTCACAGGTCGCAAGACGACCTCCACACACAGGACCTACCATCAGATCACGGGTCACAAGACGACCTCCACACACAGGACCTACCATCAGATCACGGGTCGCAAGACGACCTCCACACACAAGACCTACCATCAGATCACGGGTCACAAGACGACCTCCACACACAGGACCTACCATCAGATCACGGGTCGCAAGACGACCTCCACACACAGGACCTACCATCAGATCACGGGTCGCAAGACGACCTCCACACACAGGACCTACCTTCAGATCACAGGTCACAAGACGACCTCCACACACAGGACCCACCATCAGCTCACGGATCACTAGACCTGACTACCTTTAGAGACGACCTCTACTCTGGTCACTGGTCACGGGAACACCTGTTCAGTGGGTCACAGACAGAGCTACTCAGTGGGTCACCAGAAGATCTACTCACTACAAGAGATGGTCCCTTAGGTCACAATAACCTGGCAGTCAACCACACTAACTCGAACTATGATCTGTGTGACAGGGCTTCGACACTCAGAGAAGGAAGGTAAGATAACAATCTGTTTTTGTTATTGGTGTTCATTCTTTAACCCTCGACGATTTAAAACCATCGTCCTCAACGGGTTAAACCACAATCCTTAATGGTTAAATCATAGAGTTAACTCATCATTTAAATGGTATAATATAACAAAAGATTTCTCATATCATTTCATATTAAACAATAATATTAGCTGTGATACAGAATACGTATTGTATATAACTGGATAAAAATAATGTAATTTATACCATTGATTTATATAATGCTAAGGAGATCTACATAATATAATGCGGTTTATCCTGTTGCAGGAGCTACCTGACGGAGGCGTTGGGTCGGTTTGGGGCACAGACAACCAGAGACCTTCTACCCAACACACTGACGGACCTTCACATTGCTCTGGCTGACGATGATGACGCCCTTGCCTGGCAGAAAATAACTGGAGCATTGTGCACCCTCTTCCCTGACCTGCGCCATTTGTGTGAGTTACATCATCTGTCAGTCATGAGTAACATCATCTGTCAGTCACGAGTTACATCTGTCAGTTTAACGAGAGGTGTTTGTGTTGGCAGGGGTTCACGTGGTGGTGGGCGTGTGTTCAGAGTTATTGCCACGCCTCCCGCGCCTTCACTTCCGCCCGCGCCTCTACTTGTCGGGCGTGGGTGACGAAGACGTCCAGTGGGCGTGCCAGGCCGCGCAGGCGCTCCTTCCCCAAGAATCGTGAGTCATTATGAGTTAACTGAACTGACTCAACACAACTTAATGACACATACATAGAAAACGAAAGAGAGAGAGAGAGAGAGAGAACGCGCGCGAAAGAGTGGGAGAAAGAGAGAACGCGCGCGAAAGAGCAAGAGAAAGAACGCGCGCGAAAGAGCAAGAGAAAGAGAGAGAACGCGCGCGAAAGAGCGAGAGAAAGAGAGAGAACGCGCGGGAAAGAGTGAGAGAAAGAGAGAACGCGCGCGAAAGAGCGAGAGAAAGAGAGAGAACGCGCGCGAAAGAGCGAGAGAAAGAGAGAGAACGTGCGCGAAAGAGCGAGAGAAAGAGAGAGATAAATTAATATGTCTTCCGTCTCTCACCAGTAAGTTCGCAAGCATAAATCTGGCACGCAGTACAGTCACCGAGGAAGGCCTAGACGCACTGACGGAGGGGCTACAGCAGCTGGGTGTGAGTGTGTACAGCGGGAGGAGCGGTGGTCTGATGGTAGCGTCGTCAGCCCTAACATATACCCCAGTCTTACAACTTAACGAACTCGTCCTCAGTCGCCTCAACTGCCCATTCTCTAAGTAAGTTCTGCATCTCTTGGTGATTAAGTAGTCATAATTGAGGAAAAAAAATAATGTTTATGAGACTCAATGTTTATTTTAAATTCAAAAGGAAATTTAAGGACAACTTTTATATTTTGAGTTTTTGTTTTCTCTTCTCTCTCAACTGACAGGGTCGATGAGGACGATATTTGGTTTGATGAATCCATTTATGAACAGGTACATGAATACGACAAACTACCAGTTCAACTCGACATACCGGCAACTATATCAGAAACGGAGGAAGAATTCGATAACAAACTGACGAAATATATCCACCCAGGAAACGCCTCTTCCGTACCTGACTCAACCTATACAGAATTGCCTCCTCTCTTACCAGGAGCTCCACTTAGTACTGGTGTGAAGGTGTCGGAGGGGTTTATAAGCGACCACAACGACAGAGTGGGACAACAACGTGTATCTTCAGAGTCAGTACACCCCTTGCACCAACGACCACCAGTCAGCCCACCACGGACGCCTCCAGCCCTCCCGCCACCAAGGGCACAAGTCAGCCCACCACGGACGCCTCCAGCCCTTCCGCCACGAAGGGCACAAGTCAGCCCACCACGGGCGCCACCAGCCTTCCCGCCACGAAGGGCACAAGTCAACCCACCACGGGCGCCACCAGTCCTCCCGCCACCAAGCAGGAAGTCACGAGGATATCTGCAGCCAAAACCATCATTAACCTCCTACTGGCGTTGCCGACGAGGTACTGATGGCCAGTTTAACTCCTGGGATTCTAGACCTGACTGTCACGGTCCATGGCATGACTGTCACGGTCCAAGGCATGACTGTCACGGTCCAAGGCATGACTGTCACGGTCCAAGGCATGACTGTCACGGTTCAAGGCATGACTGTCACGGTTCAAGGCATGACTGTCACGGTCCATGGCATGACTGTCACACAGTTCTGCATGACTGTCACGGTCAAGGCATGACTGTCACAGTCCAAGGCATGACTATCACGGTCCAAAGGCAGACTGTCACGGTCAAGGCATGACTGTCACAATCCAGGCATGACTGTCACGATCCAAGGCATGGCTGTCACGGTCCAAGGCATGACGGTCACGGTTCAAGGCATGACTGTCACGGTTCAAGGCATGACTGTCACGGTCCAAGGCATGACTGTCACGGTCCAAGGCATGACTGTCACGGTCCAAGGCATGACTGTCACGGTATCATGTGTGAAAAAAACTTCCCTACAGATTACACTTATCTAACCTTAGGTCAACATAATCACCCTAGGTCTATTAACAAGGACCATAGGCCTCATCTCAGGGGTCCCAACCGTGATAATGACCATAGGCCTCATCTCCAGGGTCCCAACCGTGGTAACAATGAAGATAGTATTTACCTCAGGGGTCCCAACCGTGATAATGACCATAGGCCTCATCTCAGGGGTCCCAACCGTGGTAACAATAAAGATAGTATTTACCTCAATGGTCCCAACCGTGATAATGACCATAGGCCTCATCTCAGGGGTCCCAACAGTGGTAACAATGAAGATAGTATTTACCTCAGGGTTCCCAACCGTGATAATGACCATAGGCCTCATCTCCAGGGTCCCAACCGTGGTAACAATGAAGATAGTATTTACCTCAGGGGTCCCAACCGTGATAATGACCATAGGCCTCATCTCAGGGGTCCCAACAGTGGTAACAATGAAGACAGTATTTACCTCAGGGGTCCCAACCGTGATAATGACCATAGGCCTCATCTCAGGGGTCCCAACAGTGGTAACAATGAAGACAGTATTTACCTCAGGGGTCCCAACCGTGATAATGACCATAGGCCTCATCTCAGGGGTCCCAACAGTGGTAACAATGAAGACAGTATTTACCTCAGGGGTCCCAACCGTGATAATGACCATAGGCCTCATCTCAGGGGTCCCAACAGTGGTAACAATGAAGACAGTATTTACCTCAGGGGTCCCAACCGTGATAACAACGTACGTACAGGTGAAGATTATGAAGACATCACTGAGTACTTTTGCCCGCCAGCCAATGACAACGAGTCTAATTTCTCTTGTTGTACTATTATATAGAGAATGAAAATGCAGATCTCTCTCTCTCTCTCTCTCAGCGCCAGTCAGCGAAAACGCGCCCATGACCGTCAAAACCAATACAAAGGCAACTGTGTTTTCGCAAGCATTCAGGACCCACTTGAGCATGAGAAATGAGTTTGGTTTCTGAGGTGTGTGTGTGTGTGTGTAATCTCAGGAAGTCATAACACCGAAATGTATAGGAATAAAATACCTGCTTCCTTCTGTGTTTCCTTAACCCTATAAGTAACTCAGATCTCAGTACCTGGACTTTATAGTGAGGTCCAACTTCTTCTCAATTCATGGTATTAGTTATTGTAATGGACCCTTTAGTAAATGATCGTTTATTCATGCATTGGTTTTCACTTGCTCTCATTCACAGGTTGATCAGTAGCGATAGCCTCTCCTCTTATGGCTGGGTGCAGGTTAACGCTTACCAAGGCATCATACTGATGTAATTTATTAATATTCAACATAACACCCATGAAGGTTACCATAGACACGTAATATTTCGTTCTAGGAGTAACTATGTTTGGTAATCAGAGTCTTGGTAAAAATATGTTCGTAAATGCAAAGGCAGCCAGCGCCAGGCATTAGATCCTCAACTCTCTCCTTCTCCTCCTCCTCCCAGAGATGCTGCAGTTGGTATATTTTATTCAGTAACATTCCATAATCGTGGCAATAATGAATGTCTATAAACATTTTAATTAAGAAGATTGTACGAGTGTTAAGAACATGACAGTCGAGGTGTCAGGAGTTCAGACAATGAGTGTTCGGTTTTTTATCTTGTTCGTCGTCAGCAATTCGGAGTGAAAGAAGGTGTACAGCACAGTGGCGATAATATAAGTTTAATGCTCTGTATAATTATTGTGTTATGACCCTTCCTACCCTGTCAACTTGTGGCAGAGGGAAAATGTGGAATAAAGAACAAAAAATCCTACCCTACCCTACCTTAACATTTTGCTGGCATATGATTTAGGCTAGTGGGCTGATGTTTCCAGAATAATAGGCCAATATAGTTTAAATAGTGAAATATATTAATAATTTGCCCCAAAAAATTAACAAAAGAGAATGGTCTGGTACTCAGCTTGGACCCGACTGCTGCGGTGTGGCACGATGGAGGTCACTGCTTGGAGCCGCGGTGTCCTCCTCTACAACACAACCCGACAGTAATGCTTTACACACACACACACCGCCTTTAGACACGAGCATCTCCCTTGGGGTATACACACTAGTCACCCAAACCTCGGTCACGACTCATCACCAGCAGAGACAGGACGGAGGACTCAGACAACACAACCATCCATCACAGACACCACAACTAAACCACCGTCACCTGCTCTCCACTCTCTTGTTTCTTCCCTGTAGTGTAAACTTTAGATTAGCTCAGACACACATACTCGAAGCCCTATGAAGCCTCTAAGCCAACGAACCCTACTAACAAAAGCTTCTCAACTATTAACATATTGAAACATTACAAAATTAAACAAAATACAAGATTTCACTAGTGTATTTTGTACATTGGCCTGTTTAATTTGGGATTAAAAGTAGGGTAGGGTAGGAGTTTGGTAAAGTTACATACAGTAAGCGAATAAAAAATACACCAAAAAACACTAGAAAAACAAAAACCAAACCTAACCTAACCTAACCTATCTGACGCTCGCCATATGATGGACTCGCCTATTTCTTACCTTATTAGCCTGGTTCTTGTTTGTCGTTGGATTCTGAAATTCTTACAGGTTGCTGATGTTGATTCGAGACCGAAAATAAAAATCGAATTTGATTGGTCCAAAAATACCGCGAATTATATAAAAAAAATCATTTAATTGGTTGCAAAAAAAACGCTTATGATTGGCCGCGTGACGTGTACGGGAATGCATACGCGTGATGATTTATGAAGGAGACGCGCAGTGTGGAAGGTCAGGTAGACGATAATGGCGTTAGATTAATGGAAGAAAATAGAGAAAAATTTGGATACGTATCTCCGTTATTATACATTTGCGACGGTAATATAATTGAAGAAAATTATCTTATACTTAGACGTCTTATTCGAATATGATAATAGGTTAGTGGTAGGAATGTGTGGTGTGAAAACGCAATAATACCCTAGAAAAATATGCTTTTGACTTTCTAACAGAGTTGGGTGCACTTATACAAATTTACCGGATTTTTTGTTTTTATTCCACATTCTCCCTCTACTTCTAAGCCTCAAGTTGACAGGGTAGGAAGAGTCATAACACATTAATTATACTTAGCATTCAAACTCTTATTATCACCACTGTGCTGTACATCTATCTTTGTGTTTTCACTCCGAATCGACGTTTTTTCACTAAACATCCCCAAGTTGAAAAATTTTTCGATATTTTTAATTTGATTTCTCGCGTTGAGACGAGTTACTGCCTGAAACGACGTAAAATAGTTTTATTTAAATATTAAAGGTAACCTTCGGCATATAGTATTTGACTCAATAATTCACCAGTTAAAATGACAAATAACTAAACAAATTCGACAGTTGTGACCATGAACAGACACTTGTCATCCAAAGTGGATATTTTTTCCATCTCAGACGTTGTCTTTCATTATTTTGGTTTAAACTACTATTGAATTTAAGGAAGCGTAAATTGATTTGATTGGAGTGTTGTAGTGTAGTCTCCATTGACGTCTTCTATTTTAACATATGTGGTAATATCGAATCTTAGTAATGAATAGACTCTTAAAATGTTTTGTCAAAAGCTGAAAATGTTCAAAGGAGGGCCACCTGACTGGTGCCTGCACTTCGGCACCTCAGCTACCCTGAGAGATTGGAGCGCCTGAACTTGCCTAGCTTATACTACAGACGGGCAAGGGGGGACCTAGTTGAGGTGTATAAGCATCTCAGGGGGCACTACTCAGTTGAGTGTCCTTACTTGGAGCTGGCGGACGCTCGCCCCACAAGGGGTCACAGCTCAAGATTGAAGAAGCCGCAAGTCCAGAATACCGTGAGGGTTGTAAACTCTTGGAACAATCTACCAGAGAGTGTTGTGACGGCACTGAGTGTGAGCTCTTTCAAGACAAGACTTGACCAACACTGGAGCGGGTTCAGGTACATTCAGGAGCCGGTGCATGCCCAGTATTCGCCAACAGTGCGTGACAGAGACGTGACCGATCGCCCGGGTGGCTAGCGAGCCGATCTTTTGGTGAAGATAAATGAAAAGGAAAAGTAATCAGAGACGTGACCGATCGCCCAAGCGGCTAACAAGCCGATCAGTGGCGAAGAGGATAAAAGTAAAAGTAAAAGTTAATTTGGAGTTACCGTCATGGACCAACAACGGGAACCAGTTCAGATGTGAGGAACGGGCAGGTGTATGGAAGTGTTTGTGTTGGGTCGTATAAGTGGTTTGTTTGGTAATAAAACTATAAAATATTAACCTAACATAACCCTAAGCAAACAACCTTAACGTAACATAACATTAACCTGAACCCATGCATACACCGTATTATTAATATTATTATTATTATTATTATATTTATAGATTACTAAAAGTGGACATAATTGGATTTTTGTACAAAATAAAGATGAATTAAATTATGAATTTAGTCATCCCTAATAATTTATTCATTAAGTACGATTCTTTCTGACTTAAAATATTAGCGGCTTGTGAAGGTTATTGATATAATATAAGAATATCGGCAACTTGAGAACACTTTTAGAAACAATATTGTAAACAACAAGACATCTTTCAAAAAGTTGATAATAAATTTATTTTTATTTATTTCCTCATTATAATCAAAATATACATAAATCATTGGTTTAAAAATATATTTTATATTAGTATTAAGTATTTTTTTATTTACTTTATACGTTAAAATTATTAAAGACTATTGGGTGGTGAAGGTGTACGGTCACCCAGCATGGCTCCAGCAGCGATGGCAGGCCCGGCCAGCGTGGGCAGCATGATGGAGAGATTATTTGCCCAACGCCTTGCCGACAACGAGAAGAAAGTTAGAGACAAAACACTAAAGAAACTAAAGAAATATTTATCAGTGAGGTCGAGTTCTGGACGTGGTAAGAACATCACCCATGAGGTCTCAATGTTATGTGTCACTGATGTTTAAAATTCTTGCTGTTTTGTCTAGTGTAAAATACAATTAACTTACATATAATATACTTCATTATCAGATAGTCGGTACTCGAGTAATAATGTAAATAGTAATAGTTAAGGACAGGGGTTAATGGAAGGGTCGTGTTATTTTAAGTTACTTTAAGAAGAAAAATATTGAAGAAATAGTTGTTTGTTTATACCTTTTAAATATCAAGAAATTTTGGAATAATTGTAAACAAAAAAATTTCTATAGTATTTCTTACGAGGAAATTTGGTGTTGGTTGTTATGTTTAAGGATGAACTTTTGGTAAACTTGCCAGTGAAGAAGGGAACCTAACCTAACCTGTCTTTCCCAACGAATATTCCACATAAGCTGTGAATAACAAAATAACACCATAACCTAACCCCATACACTCCCATCCTAAAAGAGTTAGGTTGGGTAAGGTTTGAGGGTGGCTACGCGTGATGCAGTCGGCACCAAGTGGCAGCTGTGTTAACCTTTCATTAAACTCTTCCATGGTGGGTTTAGCTGCATATTTTCTTCTCTATAGTATTGTATTAATGTTCTTATTATGTTAGGTAGTAAATGACAGTAGTTGTGTCCATTTTATCATCAGTTAGATTGTTTGTTTGTTTTTGGGTGAACCAATTTCTTGTCATTGGGGAACTGAACCCTATTTCTCCCATATGGTATGTTTTAGTATTCGCTCTATGAAAATTCACCAAACGAATGGTTTTAAGAAACCTAACCCATTTGTAAACCGAGGAATACCTGTACTGTATATAAAACAATTTTTAAAAGATATTGCAGCCAGTTTTTCTTGTACCGTATATGGAAGAAAACAATAACAGTCATTGAGATTTTTGTCTTTAATGATCATGTAAACAGATGACAATGATGGCCACACCGAGGTAGCTGTTCCACTAAGTCGTGTCTTCAAAAAAAAATTAGAAAAGTTGTATTTCCTCCAAAGTTTTATTGATATAGAAATGATAAGAAACAAGTTTTTTATAATAATCTTTTTCCACACACTGTTGTAAAGTACTGTATTACCCCAAAATATAACTTAAGAAAACTTATTCTTTACCTCAAGAATAAGCCAAATCAGGCGTAAGAATAAGGTAACTCTTCATATCCTGTTTCCCCCCCCCGGTTTTCCTTTATGATATGTTTGCTATTACGATAACTAATGCTGATTTTGAACCTTTTTTTCCAGGTTTTTCTGATGATGATGCACTGAAGATATGGAAGGGCCTCTTCTACTGTATGTACATGGCAGACAAACCTCTCGTCCAGGTAACTACTTATTGTTCGAGATAGATTTAATAAAGGAGTTTTGACGTCATTAACAAGTATGTGTATTCCATGAAATTTAATACGAAGTGGTTCTTTGTCCGCGTCAGCCGTCCGAATAACCATCGGCTATTTTACCAGGATTCACGGAGATCGTGTATGATGTTGAATGCTTTATCACTGTCTTCTTTAATCATCTTCTGATGTTCCAGGATGTCCCACTTCTCTCATGGACATATATAATGTAGGTTTGGTCAGATCAACATTTTTTTTTAGGTCAATACCTGATACCTAAACAGTATCATAACTTTAAAACATTTGGGTGTTGGGTTTCTTGTCACCTTTAATATTTCATTTGGTTACCCGGTAGAGCCAGACAATTTTATTCATCTCTGAGGGAAACCCATACACAAGGGGTTATTGGGAAAATATCTAATTAAAAATAACTAAATTCCTTCCCCTTGCAGGAGGAATTGGCCGAAGACATAAGCAGCTTCTTCCACGTCTTCAACAACGAGAAGGACTGTCTGTGTTTCATTAAAGCGTCTTTTGTCACGTTTACTCGTGAATGGAATGGAATTGACATTTTCCGTATTGATAAATTTTTGATGGTAAGTACAGTACAGCACTGTCTGTCTCTGTGATTCGAGATAAGGCATTTGAGGAGAAAGATGTAATGAGACAAAAATGAGACACAATATGACAGCAATGAGAGATAGTATGACAGGCATTAGTCAGTCATTATTTCAATTATTCTTACAGGAAACAAATTCCACAATCATTGCATTTTTTTTCTTGAATACTTTATTAAATGTAGAATTGAAGATATTTCTCCCTCTCTCTCTTGCAGTTTATACGGAAGGTGCTGCGGCAAGTGTTCGTTTATTTACGCGATCGGAAATGGTCTCTAATTGCCGTGACCTTCTTCGTCAGAGTTCTGGAGACGACTATGATCTGCCCCGACGATGAGATCAATGAGACTCCCATGGGACTGAAGCTTCATCTGTGTGACATCATTCTGGAGGAGCTGGCAAAGATCGGCGGAGAGAAGCTGGAGCACCGGATTATCCTCATATTCTTACAGCCATATTTCAAGGTGAGTCCGAGCTTCTTGAAGTGCGTTGGTGCTGGGAATTCCATCTGTTTAAATTGCCGCTTGGGACTACAATACCGGTACTTATTTTTAACCATTGTCACTTCATATACCACTACAATACTTATTTTTAACCATTGTCACTTTATATACCACTACAATACTTATTTTTAACCACTGTCACTTCATATACCACTAAAACAATAATTTTTTATCCATTGTCACTTTATATGGGACTATAATACTTATTTTTAACCATTGTCACTTCATATACCACTACAATACTTATTTTTTAACCACTGTCACTTCATATAAGACAGACCATAGGGCCCAGTTGGTGTGTGGGATTTCTTCGCCAATCTACAAGTATGATTCACTTCCCCGACAAGGTTCCTCAGTCAGTAGTCATGGAACATTTATTTCCTGTGATTTGGCCTTAATTAAACCCAAGTAAAGATGTGTACAGTACCAGTAGATGGATGTATTTTGTTTTATCTTATTTCCCCAGGTCTTGGCCTTGTCCAAACAGAAAGTATATTTGAATCGCGTCACCGAGGGAATCATTCATCATCTGATGCGCCAAAGCATCGTGGGAGTTAAACACGACGAGGGTCTGGATGATGGAGAGGCAGACATGGAGGTTGATGATGGGTAGGAACTGTGCTCTTGGCTGTATTTAGTGTGCATCTTTATCTCTGTGCAGTGAGTTGTTTTTGGATTCCCGTTGAAGGACTTCACGGCAATGAAACCTCCATATAATAGTTCTTATATATTTTTTTTACTTTTAATTATCGTCATTATGAATTTATTTTTTATTTTTGTGTTGGCATGTACTGTACGGCTTATCATAAGAGATGTCTACTGTCCTATGTGTCGGCAACAAACACGGTATTCAGTGCAGGAATTTGGAACCAGTCATAGTTCTTGCATGCAGTACATAATTTATATTTGCCTGTGGAGTTATGAAATTATTAAGAGTTTTTTAATCTCCTATATAACTCGCTTCACGCTATTGAGGCCGGGTCACTCGTGCATTTGAATTTATTGATCGTTGAAACGCTCGTGTGTGTTACAGGAGTGAGGAGGAAGAGGAGGATGTCGTTCTGGACCCAAGGGCAGGACATGTGGACGCTTATATACCTCAACTCAAGCCTGATTTTAGTAAGCGTCCACAAATGTTTCAGAACTTGTCAGTTGCCTGTAGCTTTGTCTCAATAATACTGTGATTTCTCGATGATAGTTTCACATGTTTTCTCATTTCTCAATAATAGTTTCACATAATTTTCTAGTTTTTCTTCGTATTTGTCTTATCATTCATTTCATATAGCAGTCTCTTAGCATCAGATCTTTTTATGCGGTGCTTTAATAAATAGCAGTAGGGTGTAGTGTATAGAGTTAAGCTTCTATATCTGTACCTTATTTTTCATATCAATCTATTTTTATTTCACAGTTTTGGGCTGATTGAATACCTGCACACACACTTTTTTCTCATATCTTCAGCTTGTAATCTAAACTACAAATTTCATATTTTTATCTGGTTTGAGCTTCAGTTTGCATCATAAAATCTTTGGTGACTGAAAGAATGCCCCCATGGGTAGGTAAACAAGAAACTTTAATAATAATATGACTTTGACTTTTGTCACTTTTGTGTACAGTTATCATTGACTAATTTGGTCTCCCTTTGATACAGATTTATTAGCTGATGCACTTCAGAGCGTAGGAGCCGTAGCAAAAGTGCGTAAGGTGAATCGTCAACGAATCTACAGACTAGCAAGTCAACTCCGGGATGTGGGACAAGGGTTTTATCCCCTGGCTGTCCCAACGGAATTTGTAGATGACAACGTCGAAGTTCCTGATAGTGAAGTGGAGAAGGCAATGGAGAGGCTGCAGGTGTGTTCCTCCTTAACTTTGTCAAAACCATGAGGACGTCTCCCCCTAAGATAACTTTCAACAGTACACACTACACCCACATTTACCCCATAGTAATTATAATTGTGTATTTAACCCAGAACATCAAACTGCCAACTTTTTCATGGAAACACTTATAGTTCTCCATGTGTGTGTTACTTCATAAAGAATAATGTTGTCTCATTCAGAAAAATATCCATTTCAGTTTGTTTTTGTTTTTTCACTGACATGTGAAAATATATACTGGCACCTTTATGTCAATATGGAATTTGTTGTCATAATCATAGTAACATACAGTAGTCCCTCACTAAAGACTTATGGGAAATAGGGGGCTAGGTGGTGGGCCATGGGACACTGTGTGGAGGGATAAATACGCTGTGCTAATCTGCAGGTACATAAAACTTAATATCGTGGTTGGTTAAATGGTATAGAGTGAAAATTGGGGATACATGGATTCCACAGTTGGCGAAGGTTTACTATGTACTGTATATTGGAATATTCGACCTTTGAAAGAAAAAAATCCTAAAACTCCTCTTTTCTCTGATGATGCCGTCAATCTTGTTAATGATTTAATAGTACAGCCAGGTAGGTAGCTTTTACGTACAGGTGTTAGTGTTGTTGTAAAGGATAGTTGCACAGTGTCATAACGGATACCAAACGAAAAAGTTCCTTCAAGTCTATGCCATAGCTGTTTGTGGTTCCAGTGAGGAGGTTGAATCTCAAATTTTTTCATTTATTGTAATTAATATGTATTAATTTGTCTTTTCAGAAATTTCAGGAAAACTTGGGGAAATCTAATCAAGTGGAAGATGATGAGGAAGACATAGACCTGAGAATCACCAAGAAGAGTTACTCTAAAAAGAAAAAGTTATCTAAGAAAAAGAAATTACTGGCTGCCAAGAAAGCTGAGAAACGGGGGAGAAAACGTCTCTCAAGAAAGGAGAGGAAGGTTTTGGATAAGCGTGAGAGAGGATTGGCCCTAAAGAGGAAACAAGCTGTAGAAGACAAACTGAAACTTGTGGCAAAAGCAGCTGGTATACCTAAGAATGTCATCACCGCCAGTAGTCCAGCCACTGTAGAAAAAATATCAAAAGGGGGAGTTGTGCAGGGTTTTGCAGTGTCTCCCGTAACCCAGAAGGCTAAACAACCAAGTGCCACATCCTCGGTTGAAGAAAATGGCTTCGAGGTAGAATCCACAAAATCGTTACATCCTGGAAAGAAAAGAAAGAACACAGAAATAATAACTAAACCCTTCAAGAAAAAAAAATCTTCATTCACCGTCACTGATTTCAAATCGCCATCCAGAGTCAGAACCGGTGGTGAAAAATCCTCGATAGACAAGGGAACAAATGAGGCCTTATTAAAAACAGAAGCTAGAAAATTCAATGCAGGACAGACAAAGAAACATTCAGATAATAAATTCTCACAAGGTGAAGAGAAGAAGTGTAGTACAGGGATGAGCAATGACAACGCTTCCAAGAACATGAATTTAGGCCAGAACACGTCATCTAAAGAAGGCGGCATATCTACGAACCCCAAAGCTAGTGAGAAATCTGCTAGTGAACTTTCAGAAAGTGTCGGTAAAAATACTGTGCCTGCAATACCCTGTGCTACTAATGGCGAATCACCTCTTTTTCTTAGCAGTGACAAAACAGTGACTGAAAGAATAGCAACACCTGGTAAGAATAAGACAGTGACTCAAACATTAGGAACACCTGGTAAGAATAAGAAGATTGTGACTCAAACATTAGTAACACCTGGTAAGAATAAGACAGGAACTCAAACATTAGCAACACCTGGTAAGAATAAGAAGACAGTGACTCAAACACCTGGTGAGAATAAGACAGTGACTCAAATTTTAACAACACCTGGTAAGAATAAGAAGACAGTGACTCAAACACCTGGTAAGAATAAGACAGTGACTCAAACACCTGGTGAGAATAAGACAGTGACTCAAACATTAACAACACCTGGTAAGAATAACAAGACAGTGACTCAAACACCTGGTGAGAATAAGACAGTGACTCAGATTTTAACAACACGTGGTAAGAATAAGAAGACAGTGACTCCAACACCTGGTGAGAATAAGACAGTGACTCAAATTTTAACAACACGTGGTAAGAATAAGAAGACAGTGACTCAAACACCTGGTGAGAATAAGACAGTGACTCAAACATTAACAACACCTGGTAAGACTAAGAAGACGGTGACTCAAACATCAACACCTGATATGGACGTCAAAGCCACAGCACCCAACAACGCGTCGTCGCCCGAAAGTAACTCGACGGGTGACACAAGTCTAGTGCTTAATTTTTCAGACACCAACCAACAGAAAGGATTTGAAGACGATACAAAATCCAGCCAGAAATCTCCTTGGGATGAACCCTTGCAGGACGGAGAATTTGAAATCTTCGTCAGGAGCAAGAGACAGATGAAGAGGGATAAACACGAGAAACTCCAAAAGGCCAAAAAGGTAAGATAGAGTGAAACTTTACAGAATTATCGCCACGAAGAGACAAGTTCCATTAGTGAAAACTTACTGAAATGTGGGGGAAATTAATACTGTTTAGTCTTGTAGCCAATTAGTTTGATGTAATTGTAAAAGTAAGATTGAAAATGATGGTTTTGTTTACCCCCCAGATTACCCTTCCCACCCCTCATCCATATTTTTTACACTTACATCTTGACTATGTGTATGTTAACCCATTGGATAAGACACTTACTTAAAAAATCAAATTAATATGCACTGTTTAGCTATGCTTGGCAGTAATCAAGTGGCTAATAAATAATTTGCTGTAGAAGGTTAGTATATAGTTACACTAATCTAACATTTAAAGGGGAAAGGACACTGATAAAGTAAGTACAGTATTGTTAAAGTAGAATTCTAGTACCTATAACCTGGCACACTTGGTATTTAAGTACTGTATCGTGTTTGTTGTGCTTTATAAAATCAGTAATGTTTCATTTTGCAGATTGTGTTTTGGTAATAGCCAGTTCTCATTTTTAACTGGTGTTTTATCAGTTGTCATGTTGGTTAATGAAATAATTTGTCAGGAGTTTTTGTTGACAATCTCTTTCATTTAATGCCCACCGAAATGTTTTTACCTGTGAGTCCTGATGTCAAGTGTTAAAGATAGGGGGCCAGATTTACTGACAGTTTACGACACCCATAGTCGAACTTATCGTACAGCAAACGCTACGGTGGCCCCTGAGCACTCGTAAGCTTCCCGGTAGTGGAAATCAGATCGCATAACTCCCATTTTCTTTACTATACAACCCATACCAAAACACACACAGCTGGTAAATGTACTTCAAGCATCACCAATGAGTGTGAAGCTGTGAGGATGAAAGTAATGAATGCTTTAGCTCATGATCGTGCACTCCAGAGGGCAAGGGTGTTTAAGGATCCTTTGGCCCCTCTACAAATTGATGACCGCCTACTGCTTTGGTACTACAGATTTTACATAAGGTTATACAGTACTCTGGCTAGATATTGGTCGAGTGAGGAGGTGGTCTTGTGTAGTCCCACCGGATATGTCTGTTTATAGCTTTGAAGTTTTACACAAGTGATAATTTCCAAAGTGTAGTTGATGACATTGCTAGCTTAAACCAATCAGCGGTGTCAAGAATGATAAAGTGACATTTTCTTCACAATAATGGTAATAATATTCATAGTATTATTATTAGTAGTTTTATTATATTATTATTATATTTTTAACATTAACAAAAATCTGTTCATCAGAGAAATTAAGCCACTTTTTCCTCTGAAACATGTCAAGCCATTATTCTTCTCACGTAGGACTGTTTATGCGTCATCTGCTACCGTGTGTAACCTGTGATTGGTTAATATCCTTCAGAGTATTTGTACCGGGCACAGTGATTGGTCTAGCGAAGAATTGAAACAACTGCACCACAAAACTCTATGGTGGTAGCTTACTGAACTAAACTTCCATTCGGGCACCTTACAAACCATCGGTGAATCACCCATTACCAATGTACCATGCAGTCTCCGTGGCCTCTTGAGATAAAGGGAAAAGGTGCGATCAGAGTTACAGCCATGTTAGCGAGTCTGGCCCCTGATCTGGTTGATATTGTAAAATCAGAAGTTACTGTGAAAGACTGGGATGACTTGAAAATGTACTTGATCACCTGTACTGTACTGTATTTTATTTGTGTCTTGGATGTATTTCTGAGTGTTACAGTGAAACCTCTATTTAACGGACTATAAAGTGGGAAATCCATTATATCGGGGGTCCTTTAGATATGACGCCTCCATCTAACGGACTATAAGAGATGAAAGTCCATTTTATTGAGGGTCCATTAGATATGACACCTCCATCTAATGAACTATATAGAGATGAAAGTCCATTATATCGAGGGTCCATTAGATATGACACCTCCATCTAATGAACTGTCTAGAGATGAAAGTCCATTATATTGAGGGTCCATTAGATATGACACCTCCATCTGATGAACTATATAGAGATGAAAGTCCATTATATCGAGGGTCCATTAGATATGACACCTCCATCTAATGAACTATATAGAGATGAAAGTCCATTATATTGAGGGTCCATTTGATATGAAACCCCTCATCTAATGGTTTATATGGATAGAGAAGTCATTATACAAGAGGCTTCACTGGAACATAAATCACCATAGTAAATCATAATACTGTGTCTTTTCTTTCTTACATTCTGACAAGTTTAGGAGGAGAATATGACAGGTGGGGACCAAGTTCAAGATATTTATAAATGCATTTGATGTACAGTACAGTCTGGGTCAAAAGTTTGCTCTCCTCAATAAAGAAAACCGAGTCGGGAACAAGTCTCCAAACTTACCCTGACTGTCATCTAGTTAGTGTTTGGAGTCGATGCTGCTTCAGTTTGGGAGGGAGCGAGCTTTTGGCTCTTGACTGTACACTGACAAAGGTTATTTTTCATCAACAGTTTTCAGTTATGGATAAAAGATAAAGTAATTTAATAAAGATTTTGAGTTGATTATATTATTGTATGTTTTAATTAAAACCAAATCAACATTCTTATAGACATTACTAGTTGCTTAGACTGGAACTATGTGTTGGTTACAACCTTCCAATAATAAATGCTGAATCTGCAGAGGCTCACACATCAAGATAATTGGCCCTGTGGTCTTGTAGTTATTTATCAGGAATTAAACTATAAACTCCCACAGTAATATTTCCCCTTAATGTTGCAATGCTTTAAGATACAGTACAGTCACCTGCACTTTATACCTGGTACAGTGGCTGGCATGTTTTGAGAGATGTGGCCACTCTGTGTTTGTTTACGTCATATTAAAATTCCCAGAATGGCCCTCAGGAATGTCACAATAGTAGACAGACTAAGGATGCTAGATAAACATTCCACAGAGTTGCCACATCTCACAAAACATGCCAGCCACTGTACCAGGTATCCCTTGTGTGTAAGAGAAGGGCACCTTTTTAGCGAGGTATTTCATCTGTCAGGTATACCGAGACAATAATATTTAACAGTCAAGGTGGAATCTGGAGTCACTTGCTTATGCTTAATATTTCCATTTCTCATTATAAGTTTAAGTTCATCAGATTCTCTAAACAGTGATTCGCATTTAATGAACTTTATTTTCCGTTACAGAAATTGTCCAAAAAAGGTTGTGAGAAGGCGCGCACAATAAGCATTAATCTGAGGGAGAATAAAGAACACGATTATAGTGATTATGCGCGTACCCTGAAAGCCAGTCCGAGCATTCCTTTTAATGCCAGCTTACAGCCAAAGGCCCCGGTACTTAAGCCATCTCCATCCCCAATCTTAGTGAGGAAGCCCCTACTAAAGAAGATAAAGTCAATGGCATCATCTGCATCCCCAAAGTTTAGACGAGGCAAGAGGCCAATAGCAATGGACTTTTTCTAATTCATGATCATTAGTACTAACTTTGTCCCAGGCCAAACAAGATCACCACCATTACCAGCATAAACCCCTGGCTTGTGGGGAGTTGTGTTTACTTCCACAGATTGTGTAGGTATGGTAGGTATAGAGACATCACTTATAATTTGTCACTTTTATGTTTAGGTATCAAGGCATCATTTATGTCATCTTGCATCAAGTGTATAGTGTTATTGAGATTCACAGGAACTGAAAAATGGTATTCATCCTGGAGTCCAAAATAATTTAATAACCTTCATTTTAAAAAAAAAAAAAATGACATATGATTGTCGATCCTCATTCTTATTTCATTCCCCCTTTTTTTTTTTTCCTCTAAATCTGGCCACCTTCCTAGTGTCACAACCCCAGGATACAGTACCACACTTTTGTAGGTCCTGGAGGTAAAGTCGCCTGCACTTTATACCTGGTACAATGGCTGGTGCATTTTGTGAGATGTGGCAACTCTGTATTTGTTTACATGGTATTAAAACTCCAGGAACGTCGCAATAGTAGCCATACTAATGATGTTATATAAGCATTCCACAGCGTTGCCACATATAATACAGTAATATGCACCAACCACTTTACCAGGTATAAGTGTGGGTGACTGTACATATGTCGTTGAATGAAAATTTCCGTCATAACGTAGAAAATCTCAATTATACGTCATCATACAGTATTGTATCTTTGCATATGCACAGTACTGACATTATTATTTTAATAACTGATGTATTGTACCTATATACTTACATAATTTTAACTTGACATTCATCTTTCAGTCCTAGGTTTAAGCTTCATATAGGGCATTGTACTTGCATCCGAGGCGTTTACAATAGCAAGAACGTATCGCCAGGTTTCTCATTTTCCCATGTCAGTCCACAGCTCCAACATTCCTCTATCAGATGGCAGGCAATGTGGATACGCTTCCAACATGGTGCAGTCAATTCCCGTAACAACTCAAGGGGCAGAAATCATGCAGTATAGCCTAAAAATTGAGCCAAGTTGAGATATTCAGACATATGCTCTTGCTATTCTATGTCCCTCATCTGTTTTAAAGTGAATTTTTATTTATTTTCATCCTGAAGAGTTGAAGTAATACCAAATGTTAGAGTATTTGTCATGGATACATTTCAAAACGATTAGTGTTAAATAAGGAGATGGTAGACTAATTTTGTACGTGTGTGCGCTTGTTGAAAACTTTGCCAATTTCGGTGCCAGCCACTTTCATTATCCATAATAACTTTGTAAATGTGATTCAATATTCTGTTGATAATATTGAAATAAAATGAACGTTCAATTAGTCTTACCAATTTTGTATATATTCTGGGAAATTGACCACCAGTTTACCTGTAGTACTTGTTCGTCTATTTAAACTAGGGATGCATTCCTGGAAGTGTGTATTGTACTACTTTATGTTAAATCCCCATGAAACAAACTCTCTTCTACTTGATGAGAGGATATGTTCCAGAGCTAATTATACCCTTAAAATTCTCATTGATTCAAACTTAAAATGGTAAGAATTAACATTAAAATATCGTCACTTTTTTCTAGCAGGCTTTTCATTTATTGCCTTGGCTATCAGTGAAGGTGGCTTTAATTTTCTCTGCATTTCTTTTAAATTATATGAATAATTCACTTGTTCACTTTAAAAGCACGACCAAGTACTGTCACTGACTCCCAACTTAATTCATCTTTATGATTTTGTGCAAGACAACATAACACAATGGGCGAGGGGGTTTGACAACCCTACCGAGACAACAGGGGTCAAGGTGGCGGCACACTGGGCACTTTTCCTCTCAACACAGTCTGGCCACCAAAACAGACATTTTCGTCACACTGAGAATTCCTGTTGTGGTTCTGGGGCGATGTTCCTTCCACTTTGTCTTTCTTCAGGGGTTTTTGCTGAAGTGCTCATGTCTGTGGTCCCACAGAATAGGGTAATCCCTAGAGCTCTCCATTAATTGGTGCTGCTCTCCACAACTCTACATAACCTTCCTAGAAGACAAAGTGGCAGTGGCTGGCTGGTCAAAGAAGACCCTGAATAATGATTTAATAATACTACAGAGGTTTTAAAGTAATGAATAAATAGAAACGTGTCACTTTTATGTGATATATTTCAAATTAATATCGTTTCATGATTTACATATTTCAATTTTTACATAAGTATTCAGCAATAATCCGGCCAGCAAAGGTCATCGCTGGAATCCTGCCGCTTGCTGGGCCGTCAGGTCAGTGGTCTGTGAAAACAGCCAACATGTTGGGAGGAAAGTGGCCAGTGTGCCACCGCCTTTACAGTGTTCATTTTTATATTCATAGGGCCCTTCTGTAAAGATACCTATTGGGGTGAGTGTACTGTACCTGTAAATGTGTACCTAACATTACTTTTGAGGGAGATAAAGGTAGTCAAGTATAATACTGGCTGTTCTTGTGTACTGAAAGCTCGTTAGGAACGGTATACACCGTTCCTAATGAGCCTTTAGGAACAACATTCACCTTCACTGTACATTATTTTATGTATCTTATATAAAGGAGAACTGCCTTTAAAACCATATCTGAAAACATTTGTTGATTTTCCATAAACATTACAGTAATGTACTAGTGCTAACTGCTTTTGATTCAGACTGGGCTTTGGTTAATTTGTCCACCACAATGTAATGCAAACTTCTTAGTTATAATTTGTTACATTTGTACATAATATAAATCGAGAAATACTAGATTTTTTTTCAATGTAGTAAAATCATGGTTAGGAGAGTACAAAGAATCATGAAATTTGGCAATGTTTAATATTCATCTTTGTTGGAAAATATTATTGCTGCGTGAGTGAATGGTGTAAGTATTTTTGTACAATTGTTAAATATAATTATGTGAGTAATTAATGATTTTTTTATTTGACATTTTTGCATGCATGGTATTTATATAATTGTTTTAATACAATTATTCACACCAACTCATGGTAAGTCCTCCCTGCCCATTCATACCTTACTCCCTCCCAAACAAGTCTTTTGTCATGTATGGTACAGACAACAGATCTTTGTCTTGACCCAAGCTGTATGATATGAAGCAGGTGATCTGGTACCACTGTATGGGCAAGAGTTGATGTATATACAGTACTTTAAATGGCTAGTTATTTTTTATGTCGTCGTCGAAGATTATCAGTCGAGAGATTCTGTTTCCTTGGTTACTTCTGTTAGATATTTTCAACTGATTTACACTATCATCAGGTTCCACTATGATAATGAAAAAATAATTAAAACATGTATACATATATTGAGTAATTTACAACAATGGTTTATCAACACAGTTCATAGGCCTAGTTACAGGCTGGCAGTGGGGTAGGGCGACACATAAGCCACACGGTAATGACTTGCCACACGCACAAAAACTTACGAGTAGCTCCCGGCTAAGTGACTCAACATACCTGGGCAGCCACACACCAACAATGATCCCAAACAGTGAACCACCAAGATTCATGAAGCAAAAGACTCAAAGAAATTTAAAATATTCATCTATGAGGCAATTTTCTCACATTACCTATGAATCCATTTATTTTATATAACTTAATTAGTATCGCTGTACAGGTATAAAATAGAGGAAAATAAGGATAAAGTTATTAACATCGTCACCCACATAAACGACGGTGTACCACAAACAAGGGTTAATTAATTTACAATAATGTCAGTCGCTACGGTCAGTTAAGAGTTGAATACAGTACTTCATCAATGGAGGCAACCAAGCCGAAGCATTTACGAGTGAAAGCAGACTTTGTAAAGGATATAAACGGCAATAATTACTGGACTATACAAATGGAACTGTAAAAAGAGGAGGACTGACTGTAAAAGTTTGACTATAAAAATATACCCTGGTACCTTTGTCACAGCCTGTATATACCCTGGCACCTTTGTCACAGCCTGTATATAACCTGGCACCTTTGTCACAGCCTGAGTGTTTATTTTGGTTGTCTGAATACATCAAAAATATTATTCAACAAGGTCCATCTGGCAAGTATTTCCTGCGCTCAAAACTGTTAAGTCCCTTTGGCAAAGGTCGTTACTGTATGTGAATAGGTCACCTTGGTTCCGGGCTGTTCAATGGCGTGAAGAATGCCTCGTCCTCATCAGAATTAGAGGAACTAACCTTAATTGTAGAAAGTTTTGATGATAACACGCTTTCTAAATCTTCTTCGGAGACGTTCATCTTCTGCAACCTTATAGATCGTCTTTTTCCGGTAGATTTTTGTTTTTTTCCTTGAGCCTTAACTCTTGATTTGGTCGAAGATGCAAAGTCATCATAATCACAAGACAATCGTGCCCTTTTCTTTTTAATTTGTTCTTCAAAACTTTTAAGAACTGCCCTGGTTCTTTTCCTGCCTGGGATCTCATCTTGGCCAGAAGATAACGAACTTTTACTGCTGTGACTTTCGTTAACAGCTTCTTTAATTCTAGTTGAACGTAAGCGCTTGTGTTTGCTACTTCTTCTTGCAGATGTTTTTTTACTTTTGTCAGTTGTGGAAATTATGTCTTGTGTTGTGGACAAAATAATTGTGGAAGTGGGTGAGGAGGATTCATTGTTTACATTTGGAGAATACCTTAGAGAAGAGTCACTGCTTGTAATTTCAATAATTTCAGTCTTTTGAGAACTTACAGCCTGTTGTGGTGGTTTCTTACTAACTACATTATTTCCAGACTTTTCTTCCGTATTCCCCTGACACAAACTCTCTATTTTATCTTCAAATTTCTTATTGTGGGTTTTTTTGGGGAGGTTATCTTGAGGTTTGGGTATCAACTGCAACTCCGGTGAAGAACAGCTTAAATACAAACGTGGAGTGTCTTCATCACTGTTACACTCTGTAGCTGTAATAAAATTTTGTAACCGACTCTCTCTGCATTCACAAGTTTCAAAATCTGGTGAAAGTAGCACAGCTGTTTCCAGACAGTTTTCACTTGAGGAACTTTCCGAGTCAATATTTTGTGAGAGGTCTAAGCTCTGAGAAGTATTTGGCTCTTGTGGTTTATAAGTAAACGATTGGGACTGACCTGGCTTCAATATAAATAAACTGGTCTCACTATTAAATGGATGGCTTCTATCTAAATGACCCGTCTGTCCGTCCTTACATCTCTGCGAATCAACCGCGGCTTCACTTATTTCTTCACAATCCAAGTCACGAGAATCCTTTTTGCTTGTGTGTGCTGGGGAAATATTTCTCTTCTGGCTTGGAACACTCACTTTATCTAGCAACTGTGACGTGGCTCTATTTTTTCCCCGAGTCTTTAATTTGGGCTCGGCCATTACCGAGTCCTTATGACTATTCTCTTCTTTGTTGCCGTTTGCATTACCGGTAGTTGACCCTTCTTTCACATCATCTACCTGTACCAATTGTCCTAAATACTTACTTTTGTCTATCACAAGTGTTTCCACTATCTTTATTAAGTCACTTTCGCTTACTGGTACATTATTGCCGAAATTACTTAAGAGAATTTTAAAGTCCACAATGTCTGGTATGGGAAGCATTTCTTGCAAATCTTTTGCATTTATCAACTGAAAGAAAAATTTTAGTGAATTAGTACAGTATTGGTATAATCTTCTACCTGTCGTGTTACTGTACTGTACTGTACTGCACCCTATCTACCAGACTCCGTCACAAGTGGAAGCATCAACATAGTAACTGCTCCATCTTCAATGGTTTGTGATCACTCTTGCTCGGTTATTTGCCATTGACAGTTATCTCAACGTTCATGTAGCCTTTTTTATGCAATGGCTCCATCCTGTGGCATTTACTCTTTCCTCTGCTTGTCCCTTTTTATTTCTAAATTGATACATGGCAGTGAAAGATGGACTTGGGTGAGCCACAGTGATTGAAAATTCAAGTGCATCTCGTGCTTATAGAATGGAAGGGATGATGATGTGTGAGGTAGATTTGGTATGGCTTAAGGAGAAAGAGGATAGGAAATAGAGAGGTAAAAAGATTAAAGACAGGTTTTCTGAGATGGTGTGAACATGTCAGACACAACAACACTAATCACAACTACATTATTCAGTTAATAATACTTTCCTAGATACTGTCAATAAGGAGAAAGATCTAGGCATTGTGATAGATCATTCACCGAAGGCAGCACAACAAGTGGGGGCAGCAGTGAGAAAAGCAAACTGAGATTTAAGAATAATGAAACGTACCTTCGAATACAAAGATATGAAAATTCTCCCTCAACTATATAAATCTTACCTACATCACAGTCTGGTTTACTATATACAGGCACGGAAACCCTACCTCCAGAAAGACCTAACATGCCCAGAAAATGGTGCAACCCAGAGCAACTAAGATGATTCCAGAACTAAGTCAACTTCATTATCCAAGCAGACTAACAACCCTTCATACAGGATTCAATATGACAGATCTCATTGAAACACTCTAAATCTTGAAAGGGATGGGAAACCTGACCCCAGATCATTTCTTTGTGATGTCACACACCACCAACGCATGAGGATATAACTACAAGCTCGTCAAGTTATGCAGAACGAACATAAGGAAATACATCCTCACACAGGGTGGTTGACCTATGGAACTTACTACCAGCCCAAACTGTGGAATCAAGAACAGCACCCAACTTTAAAATAACCCTTGACTAAATTTTCAACAGAGGGACCTTACACAGGTCTCCTTCACTCAGCATGGCCATTGGGTAAATAAAGTAAGGAAGAGACCAGAGATTAGGATGAGAAAGGGAGGTTATAAGGGTACTGCAGTTGGTATGTTGGGAAGGGGGGGGTGAGGACAAAGGGGATAAAGCAAAGATATAAAACAATAACTACAGAACTAGAGAGATCAGATAATTATGTACAGTAATTCTTATTGATGAGACAACACACACCTCTAATATTTTTACCTTCAATGCTCATTAAAGATTTTATGCTCTATATTTTCATGCATTTCAAAATAATTGTTTCTACATGTCCTTGTTTCTGAATGTAACAGTGGCAGATATTTCACCACAAAACTTGATGTGCTAGCCTTGACAATAAAAGCAGACAGCCAATCAGAATACTTGTCTGGTGGAGGAATGAGAGTCATTTAAAGTGGTGACTCATGCAAATAAAATATGTTATTCTGTAATTCAGAAAGTATATAGTACCGCATAATTATCTCATGAGAACTCACTGTCTTTTGATATGTTAGATAATTACTCAAGCCTCTTCTTGTACAGTACAGTACTGTACAATACACTATACACTATAATATACACACACACATTTACCCTTTCATTGCACATAACACCCGTAACTCCTTCACTTCAGGGATGCCATTTTTAATAGTTTATTTGACTAACACAAGACAATTTTATCCAGCTCAGACAGACACCCATACACAAGGGGTTAAGGGATTATAAAATGAAATCAGGCAAAGGTCAAGTGAAAATGGGAACATGTGTAAAAACATCTTCCTCCTCTCACCTTGTGCAGCGCCGTGGGAGGAAGCTCTCGCATCAACATATCCTTTACCCAAGGGAGTTGACTACGAAGGAACTCCTCTGCATCATCATGAATACCTTGATTCAAGTGCTTGGGGGAATCTCTTTGCTCGACGGCACAAAGAGCAATAATCAAGAGTTCGGCGTGATCGAACTTGTATTTATCATCCTGAGGGAACAACAGTGTAAAGTTAGCTGTACCATCAATAAACTTTACAGTAAATACAATCATGCAATTTGAAGCACTATATGATAATCAAATAACTTATCATAATTCTAAATAAACATGATGTATGCTGAATAAATTATCAGTATGAATTAAAGTAGATATCTATTTGCCCGGCATACAGCACAAGTAAATATAAATGCATTGTGGGTTTTCATGAATGACTTATATACACCGAAAAAGACCATCTTGTGGTATGACATAGTTAGTGGTTCTTTATCAACATTATACACCAAGACTCACCATAACTACTGTATTCAATGGTAAAATTATGTCAGTGTACAGTAATTATAGGTAAGTGACTTAATCCAACATAATATCAAAAAGGAAGCTGCCATCCATCATCATCAATGTTTTATGGTCACTTTCCATGATGTATTGAAGAGGTTAACTAGCAGTAGAATATATATATATACCCTGTCTTAGTCACCTGATAGTTCAATCGTTGTTTCACATCGTCCCAACTCGAATACGTCAGATGCCGCTGCACACTGTCAGGTTGTAACTCTTCATCGTCAACCAACTAAGAGAAAAGGAAGGAAAAACTCATCAATATAAACTCACATACTATTAAACCTCAATATGCAATAAGATACCAAGGGAAAACCTCAATAAGTAGGCACAGTCACACACATAAAGTTCCCTGTACAGTACCTGGTTCCATGAACCATTTGGGCCCACAAAAGTGAGCATCAATATGGATAAATGGCTGCTTCGAGAACTGGTTTTATCTCCTGGGGACATAATAAAGAGTATTGCTATCAAAAGAGGGTCTACTAACTGCTATGTATTCATTGTGTTAACCCCTTGTGTATGGGGTCGCCTCTGAGCTGAATAAAACCATCTCGCGTAAGCAAAATAAAATATTAAAAGTGGTGTCCCTGTAATGAAGGGGAGTTAGATGTGAAAAAATATAAACTTACCAGTAATTTGGCTGTTATATATAATCTAATAACAGAAGTATGGAACTCAGTTGATCGGTGTAGCTTGTTTAATTTCAAGACCTCTTCCAACACTTCTATAATCTCCTCAAGATAAAATGTCTTCATTACTTTGGTGGTGGTGAGGGTGAAGAGGATAATCTGAAGATGTCTTAGCAGCAAAAGAAAGGATGCTTGTGGAATACTTGGGAATCTCTTCCTATCCTGAAAATCTGCCTCAATCTCTAAAAAAAAAAAAAAAATATATATATTAGCATTATGAATTTTTAAATACACAAATACATAAAACTGTCCAGTGTTAGCCAAATAAAATCTTAAAAAGTGGTGTCCCCATAGTGAAGGGGTTAAAGATCCTTCATGTCAACCTACCTCGGAGAACACCACCAAAGAAATATAAGATCAGATGAAGATTAGCCACCCTAGCTTATTTCACTTGATTAAACACCCTAATGTTACTTGGGGGTTAGGTTAGGTTGGGTCAGGTTAGGTAATGTTTAGTTAGTGTTAGGGTGGAGATTCTTAAGGTGAAATAAGATAGGTTGGGTTGGGTTGGGTTACGATGGGTTAGGTTAGTTTAGTTGGGTTAAGTTAGGTTTGCAAGTGATTCAATTCAGTTATCTATGATCATCGTCATCAGCTTCAACCGACGAGGCAAATGCCGGAAAAAGGCGGAAATAAAAGTCCGTGACCAGATAAATAACGACCAAAAGCATTAAGAGTTCCAATTATTCCAATAGTGAAGAGGACAAATTAAAGTTGCTGGTTACCATGAGTCAGTGTTGTAAAATATTACCTTGATTGTACTATTACTGGTACAGTATTACTTCACCTTAAATTAATTACCTGCATATAACCTGTATCAATAGTCATTACTACAAAGAATATAATTAAGAATATGATAATTATCACACAAACACTAGCATATAATTTAAGCATAATTTTGTTTTTTCATACTCAATACTCTAACCTGACCATAAATTAAAATAACCTAACCTACCCTAAGCTGGAGTTGGTGGAATAATAACCAACAACACTAAATAACAACTTTATAGAAAATCATCATCACATATCCATTAAATACAAGTTCATCCTATTACCACTCTGCATAATATAACCCCATTAACTATACTTACTATTACACAAGTTATTAAATTCATGTTTGATACCATGTTCATAAAGCCAGTCCATGATCTGATCCTCCATCTTCAAGTTCTCAAAGACAATTATCACTCCCAATAAGTTATCCGGGGTGATTAATTACATTGTTTAATTAAAAAGTAAAAATAAAATCTTAAATGAGTCTTGACTACAGTATGTATGGTATTAATTTAAAAGAAAACGTCCTCCCTGCTGCTGAAGTTAACCGACCAATCACCATCAGTAGTTGGGGACAGTTAAACAACCCACTCGCTTTTCGTGGATAAATATCACCTGTAATCATCCTAGTACACCTACATATAATCACCACGTATACTAAAATAAGACAGAAAAGAAGAGATAACGAAATATTACAAGACAAATTGGTATATCTGGATTAATTGTTGAAGAGGCTGTCACAAGCACCATGGCCAGGAGGTGTATATGAAGTCCCTCGCCTCTCACCTCTTACCTGGGCCTCAGAGTTGGTCTACGGTATATCTACATTATTAATTGTAAGTCACTATTGCTATATTTACACAGATATGTATAATATATTGTATATGTATATTGAGGTAAAGTTTTGGTGGAGGTTTTCTGTACCACCAGCCATTGTTGTTATTTACGCCCCTAACATCACCATGCTAATATAAATCTTAGTTGAATAAATGTTCTTCTCTCGGTCAGTTGTTACTCATGCACCGGTCTCTGTTTGGATATTAACAATGTTTTTCCGGTGATATTTGGTGAGTTTCTAACGAATTGATATTCATTACCGGCGGAATTAACTATTTTTTTTATATTCCTCCCCCATAATAATAGGGGGGAAGCCTGGGAAATTAGGGCTTTTTGTGTGGTGGAGAAACCAAAAACGAATCATCTAACCTAACACAAAACCTAATCTAACAAAACCTAACCTAATTAACCCAATATAACCTAAAGCTGGGGGCTGGATCTAACGAATCATCTAACCTAACAGGGTTGCACCGGTCCGACTAATTACCCAAATGTAGCCGCAATGAAGTCAAATGATGGTCGTACAAGCTTAATTTGGGCTGTGAATCACTTCTCGATTATTATTTGGTATCATAAAGTAAAAAGAAATTGGTAAACTTAATTTAATCTGAGTTGTGTTGTGTTAGGTTAGGTTAGATTAGATTAGATTAGATTAGATTAGATTAGATTAGGTACATACACTTGATCTATTAACTCAGATTTCTTAGAATTGTCTAAACATTAAGAAATACATATTAATAACAGCAAGAGAAAAACCGGTGCATAAAGAAAAATTCACCCTTCTGTCCTTTATACTATGTATATACAATACTTTAAATTAAGTGAATGATTTTGAGTTAAAATTATTGTGTTTTTAACTAGCAATATTTAAGGACAGTTGCCCTGGTTAGTCAGCCATCTAATAAAAACTCTCAATTAGTTATAAATGCTTTCTTACTTATTTTTAAAGCCTTCATATTTCCTCATTAGAGCAAATAGTCAACTTTACATGTAAATATTGCAGTAAACAGTAACCACAGAATTCTGGAAATTTCCTACACTAAATCGATAGAACTGTTTTTCTATGATAATTTTCTTATATTGCACTTCAATCACAAATTGATAATAAGGAAGTTATTGAATTTTAAAAAAAGAATAAAATCAGAGCACCTGTTGCCCCTACGCTGTTTCTCAAATTGTGTGTGTTCTGTGTTCGTACTTGGGTCGCACAAGTACTGTAACGGCTATTTATAGTCTCGTGGAGGCTGACCACGCGACTCTGGGTTATTACATAGTGTCTTGGGGAGCGGGGGCAAAGCCCCCATGCTAGGGCCACCGGAGGTCCGGCGGCGCAGCCCCTGGCTAGGGGGGTTAGGTAAGGTTTAGTTTGGTTATATTGTATAAGTTATCAAGTACAGAGTACCGGGAATTCAGAACACACAATCGATAGAACTATTATTTCTACTATTTTTTTTTTCATAAATAACAGAATTTCTGTTGTGTAATGTGTTCTTGTTGCGATTCAGACAATTTTGGAATTTGCTTCTACCACAAATCACTCGTTTTGACCCCCCCCCCCCTTCCCAGAACCCCAAATTCCTACACTTCCCTCACTTAAAGGTGCTTGCGAGGTGCATTTGCATCTTCCTGTCAAATTTCAGTTCTGCCTTCAAAACAGTAGATGTGGATGACAGACAGACAGTGATTTATATACAGTACAGCAGTAATAGGTGTATCTCACAAATTTCTCAAGGTTTAAGTCCTGCTTGGCCCAGACACACGTGAGGAGGGTGTTATCCAGTGTGACTCACTATCAAGCATGACAGGTTTCCTAGACCCCAGTGTCCTGACTAACACTGGATAGACTAGCCAACCGCTCTAACAGCTATTAAACTACTGTGAATTGATTTGTTCAGTCATGTTAGTGAATCATTGTGTGTGTGATAGACTAGATAGTAGTTACTGTATAATATTTATTTTAAGTTTCTGCAGGAGTTCATCTGAGGTTATAGATTGTTTCCTTATTCTATCGTAGTTATAAATTAATGAGTTATAAAATTCATAACTTAATTCTTATATCAGGTGTTGTGTTTAGAATATTGTTTATACCTTATAGATGTGATTAATGAACCAACGTTTTTTTCATAGTTTTCTTCTTTTTTTCAGTTTTACCTGTTATGAACACGGAGTTTTAAGAATCCAAATAAAGACAAAGATGGCGACAGATAAAGTATTGCTTTTTGTTTTAACACATTTATACACTGGTGAGTGAATGTGTTCCAGCAATGGCCGCAGTATAATGCCACAATGGGATCAGGTTTTTTTTTTTTTTTTTTTCATTGGGTTTTATACATTGTATCCACGGGAGTTTATACATTCGTGAAAATTCTTGTATTCATCAAAGTTAGTGCATTGATTTGATGTTGAATTGTATGCCATAGTATTGGAACACTTTCACTACCACTCACACATTCTTTATTCATGCACATGTTGTATTTTACCCTATAGTATACAGTGAGTTCTGCTATAACGCGTGTTTTGATAACGCGAATTTGCTCTAACGCGATTTATGAATTAGGAACGATATTTGTATAACGCGAACGCTTGTTTGCTATAACGCGATTTTTGCTTACTATTTCTCCAATTTTGTGGTATATTAACTGTGAATATAGTAAAGAAGAATATCAACAAGAAGCGTTCTGGTGATAGAATTCCCAGTGATGATCGTAAAAGAAAGGATATAACACTTGAAGAGAAGCTCGATTTTATCAACCTCAAAATCACCCTTCTCCCCCATCAAGTAAAGTGTTACATTTACTGTATGATTTCATTATTAGATATGAATGTAACATTTATTTAGACTGTGCTATCCTTTGTGTTAGGCCAACTCTAAATTTTTTCGATTTCGAGTAATCTGCACCTAACCCTATTTTCTCCATAAGCCCTGTTATTTCTATTACGCGATTTTCTATAACACAATATTTTACACGAACACAATTATCACGTTATAGCAGAACTACCTGTAGTTTGTTTCACTACACTTGGAACTTTTTCTCAACTGATAAATTTTCACGTGACCTTTTCAGTTATAACTTTCACTTCAGTTGGACTTTTTTTTTTTAAGTTTTGAGTTTTATAGTTCAGTACAATACAAGTTGAAATTCTGAAACCCGATAAGATTGATAAAACTGGGGATTACATTTTCACCGTTATTTTATATCACGGGATGAGTCTGAACCCCCCTACCCCCCCACCCTTCTATATTTTAAACTCACAGCTATAAACAAGATTGAAATAAAACATATTCCTGGTGCAATAAGATGCTCTACTACTGTGTACCTAGGAAGATGCAGGTGAAATCGCAGAGCAGCTGGTTGTGGCTGTCATCTGAACTGACTGCAAATGTATCCCACAAACTTCTGTCCTCACTCTTGGCCACTGCAATTTTTTTTTTTACTTATGATATTTAAAAATGATCCAAAGTTTATAAATACGAAAAAACAGCAATTGACGCGTGTGATGATGAGAAGGGGTGGTGTTAGTGGATGAGAAAATAGTCATCGTCAAAATTTACTCAATGTTTTTTCTACAGTGTTACAGAGGTAGATCAAACCAGACATTACTAAAACATTGAAGTATTGAAAACTACCTCAGGAAAATTATGTTTACTGTAAAAATATCGCAAATATGATCAATGAGAAGCAGTGAAGCAAGTAGAAAAATTACATCAGTCGTTTATTTAGCTTGGGTCTGGGTCTGTATAGTAGACTTTTGTAAAGTCAGTGAGTCAAGTATTACAAAAGCGAAAATATAGGAAAACTAGAACATAACTGGGCCCAAGTCTTTTGGATAAAGAATCTTCAACCTGTATTTGTAATTTTGAGTACTGTACCTATTCACTTACTGTACAGTATATGATGATACTGTATTGTATTGATAATTGTCATAGTTACTACTTATAGTGATTGTAATACATATTGATGATTATCATAAAAAAAAATTAATAAAGCAATGTCACTTTTGTAAATGCTTAATGCTAATGTGATAGACAATGTGTGTGGGGATCTGGGGGTGCTCCATGCTTGTGTGTCTTTATGGGTCCATATCTGCTTGTCTGTGTGTTTTATTGTCATTTACTTTCAGGAACTTGAAAGACTATCTCTGTTTTATGTCCCCAAACCAGGAACCTGTCCAATTTTAACCTAAGCTTATTTAACCCAAACATAAACCAACTTGACCTAACCTAACTTAGCTCAAACTAACTTGACCTAAGTTAACCTACCCAAAAAAAAAAATTAGCCAGACCAACCCGGGAGTTTTATTGTGAAAATTTAGGTGTTGTTTCGCATTCAGGGATTAATTTCAGTAGTATGGGATATTAGTGCCTTGCATATTCTCCTAAGATTTCATTCATCACATTTTTTTTTTTTTTTTTTGACTTTTAAGTGTTTAGGGTCATTAGGTACATTTTACTCAATATCCGTCTACTGTCTTCTCCATTTTGATTTTGTCTTTACCACACAGCAAGCTTTTTCCTCGTACTTTTGACCCCTGACCTCATAGTTCCATTTGTTAGAGAATATATTATTGAAATCTTTCATTGTCTCACATAGAAAGCTACAAAGCTACTGTTTCTGTAATGGCCATATTAATAGCTTATCACAATAGAATACATCTAGGGGTATTGGTGGCACAGTACAGGGGTAAGCTTGTTTGCCTCTCAAGCTGAATCCTGGGTTGGATGAGAGAACAGAACAGTCTGACTACTCGACCAACTACTAAGCTGATAAATGGTGGAAATTATAAGAAAGACATTAAGTGGTAACAGAATCAGTTTTTATTTGGATACATTACATTACATTACATTAGCATTTCATGAGTTTTATTTTCACCCAGCAGTAAACTAAACCAGTCATGAGAGAAGCATCCTGTTAATTATCTTCACTATCTTGGCAGGAAATGACTTCAATTTGGGGTTGTTAATCTCGTCCTTATTGTGTACTGTACTGAGTTACTGTGAAAGCTAGAACTTAGTCATTGTTACAGAAGGGAGGCAGAACACATCTTTTACAGCAATCAGAATAATTTACTGGGAGTATTGGGAAAAATGTTTGTACAGTGTGTGCTTCTGTGTTTCTGAAAATCTTAACATTTTTGGACAGAGGGGTTGAAAGATTGAGAAAAGGACATACACACACATCCTCGCTCTATGAAGAAGGTATTGACCGCCACAGCATGTATAGTGAATAAGAGCAAATGGTGGGAGTGTATGTTGCTCTTGACACAAGTATCCCTGCACCATTTGAGAGAAAAATTATAGAATGGAAATAATTAGTATTGAATTCTGGAATGCAGTTCTACATACACAATAATTTCAATGTACAGTCCCCTGCACTAGTGTGTTTACTGAGGCTCATCATCATGTAAACATTCTACAAATCATTACATTGAGATATATGTTTTAGTACGGTTTTACTTTAATTCCATAGTATGTAGATTATTGGGAGTAAACAAACACAGGGCTGCCACACTGCACAATACCTGATGAGCCCCTGTAAATGAATACAAAATATTTTTAAGGTAATTTTTCTCAAACTTTTACTCTAAGTCATTTCATAAATGGCTTTCACATCTTGTATAAACTTAATTTTTACTTTGAGTTGGATAAACAGTAAAATATATAATACAAGTTACATTTTTCCTGTCTTTTCCCTCATAATTTTTTGTGATTCAAAGTTTATTATGTTTAAATATTTCATGTACAGTAGCTAAAATACCCATCTGTGCAGGTGGGGGTCGTTATGCTCCAAAATTTTACATGTGACTAGTGACAGCCCTCATATACCAAAGTTTATCATCCATGGTCACATATTGTTTCCCACAAAGTGTGCACAGATAGTTGTTTTAGCTACTGTACATTATAGGTGATTTATGTGATCTATCAACATGGTGATAAATTGTGTGTGATGCCTAAGTTTTTGGAATAAACAGTCGTGGCAGTGGTGGAAGGAACACACACCGCAGTACTTCCATAAATTTGCGATGAGCCGAAGGCAGCGAGTTATCATGGCGGTCTTCTTACTGGGCTCCTTTGTTTATATCATCCTAACACAGGTGAGGCATCTTTTGTTCAACCATGTTATTGGTTGTTGAACAGACTCCCTGTACTATCTTTGGGTTTAGTGAAGGAAGGATTTAAGGGATGGAAAAATTTGTTCCATTGTTGATATGCTTAAGAAACTAATGCATGTGTCTTTCTACTTCATATATACGAAAGAATGTGTATTGAAATTGATGGAAAATTTTCTGACAATCATTACTTGGCAGGTATTGCTTATGATTTAATATTCATAGGAGAGAGTGGTGAGAACTCAAGGTCCAACAGAATTTGAGTTGGCACTGCGAAAACGAAGAGTGAGTAATACGTATTCATTTGGACAGATGGTTGTATGGCAGGAAAGGTTAACACAGAGACTACCTGACTCCTGGTGTTTCATCATTAAGGAATTTTTCAAAGGAATGAGCGTAAGAGGTACACCGTGTGGTTATGGGTGATAGAGAATGGACCAAAGGGGGAGGAACACAGTCACGGGATCCTCTTTATAAATGCACGGTGTACTCCTTGTGTTCATTACTCTGTGACAAAACACCAGGAGTAAAGTCGTCTCTGACCCTGTGTTTCCTTTGCTGTCATACAAACCAGAATGGACTATCAACTTAGTTGCATTGTCTTGTCATTAGTCGGGGCCTCACTGCCCTTACATTTTCCAGGTCCAATCCACGTGTGTTGAGTTCATATTTTTTATTTATTTATTTACCATATATATTTTTTATCTCACAGCTACAGTTGTGTGTGTGTGTGTGTTTAACTCAAATATCTCCTCACCACATTTCTCGTGTTGCCTGTGAGTGGTACATTAACTGTGGATTGTGGTTGATAATGCCACGTTAATGAAACTTTTATTTTGTCTTCTTATTTCTTAACTATTAAAATTGCCTACTAAGAATGTTGAAGATTTTGTGCATGAAGAACATATTATTATTTTCAGTAATACAATATGCCTTAGCTGTCATGTACTGTAGGCATCACTTGAGTGTGTGTTTGTTCATCCAATCTTATTTCCCTGAGATTAATATTTTTCTCAACAGTTACTGGGATAACTTATATTTACTTAGACTGATGAACAAATAGATTTCTGAGTGAATAATCCTTTGTAAAAAAATAAATTCATAAAGTATACTATTGCTCTGTGTTTTGAATGCATATATAGTATTATACATTAACCCTTTGTATACGGGGCCGCCTCTGAGCTGAATAAAATTGTCTGGTTTCAGCCAAATAAGATATTACAAGTGATGTCCTCATAGTGAAGAGGTTAATGGAGGAATATATGTAATTCACAGGAAAATCATAAATTATAACACTAAATTGTCATTGCAGGCTGTACACATGTTGGGCAGAGTCCCTGGTGAACCCACACATCCAGAGGTGCGGAAATTCTGCTCAGGTCTGGCGAAGCAAAATCCCAACCTCGTGGTAAGTTGTTACGTTTTACAATTGTCATCATTAGCAAAAAAAAAATATGTTATCCTAATGGAATTCATGTGATATCTTTCAGTGTAATGATGATTATTTCCAGGAATATGGTTATGTTCAGAAGAAAGGCATGTAGGAACATACTGTAGTCTCCATTTTGGATTGTCAGAATGGTGAAGATTATAACTTATGTATGTATGTATGTAATGTATGTATGTATGCATGTATGTATGTACAGTAGGTCTTTAGGAACTGTATTAAACAAGGTTGACAATGGAGGAAAACAGAAATGAAAAAGAGATTAGTGTGATGACGATAGATAAGTACACAGACAGAGAGAGAGATAAGTAGATAGGTATTGATGTAGTAAAAATCATCTTTCAGGTTCACACTGGAACATAAACAGTGCCTGTACACGAATATTCACCTCATAGATAAGAATCTGACAAGAGAAGCTGCTAAAGATCAGCAAGTGTGGAAATACGACCTTAAAATGAGGGTTGTTCCTTGCAGTTGTTTGAGGTTAAAGTAAAGTAAATTATGCCTTTGTGCTGGTTCACTGATTTCTGGTTATGTATTTCATTACTTGCTTAAAATATTTTTAATTTTTTATGCTCATTTCTTTTGATTGTTGAAGAGATGGTGTTAGTTGTTGTTGTTTGAATTTTAGATCCTGTTATTATTGCACACACTGTATTGCATTTTGTATTCAATATCACTGCTATATTTTCCTGGTTGTTATACTGTACTCTATTTGTCCCCTTTACTGTGGAGTGTGAACTGTGAGTAGTGTGGAATGTGTACTTATGGTTACTAGACTTCTCTTATCCAGTGGGGAGGGAGGGAGGGAGGGGAAGCACTGTGGGTTTTAACAGTGTCATCCTACTACTATTTCTCTAAGGAGGATTTTGATCTGTTTTTGTCCAGGCACATAGGATGACGATGATATATTGCAAGTAGCAAGTACTGTACTTCATTGTGTACTCTCCTTAATGTTCTTGTACTTTGTTTGCCTCCATTTTAACATAGTGATACATGTTTGACAAACCTTTCTTTAGCAGGCAGAAAATGAGAGTTCTCCTGTAATATATGTAGTGACTCCTACATATAAAAGACCAGAGATGGTGGCAGAACTAACTAGACTGGGTCAGACTCTAACTATGGTACAGAGGATACACTGGATTGTAGCAGAAGACAGTGCAACTTGCTCAGCTCCCATCACTAGTCTTCTCAAGAGATTAGGTAACACACCCTTTGCACCTGCTTCACATGTCACTTACAATCTCCCTATAGGTTGGTTAAAGTGATATATTATCCATTTTGGCTAAAGCTATAAGCCTTTCCTCTCCAGAATTTGTAACTAATGGTATTATAAATTCATTTAGTCATTACTATTAACAGGTCTTCCCTACACGCACTTGGCCACACCAATGCCAGAAATATACCGGAGGGAGAAATTTGTCCCGCGTGGCGTCTCCAACCGTAGAGCCGCCTTGCAGTGGGTGCAAGCGAATGGCGAGAACACGGGCGTCCTCTTCTTCCTGGACGACGATAATGCCGTGGACATCAGACTATTTGAAGAAATGAGATCAACGAAAACAGTTTCAATGTGGCCTGTTGGGCTGATTGGAGAGTACACTGTCAGTTCACCTATAGTCAAGGAGGTAAACCCTATGACTTTGTATATCTGGCCTCTGTGATCTTGATATATGGTATAGCTTAAATAAATGATAAACCAAGATGTGAGATTTCTATTTCTATTTAGGGAAAGGTGGTTGGGTTTTACGATGGGTGGCCAGCTGGCAGAAAGTTCCAGGTAGACATGGCTGGATTTGCTGTTGGAGTTGGTTATATGAAGAAACAGGTGACTATTAATAATGTAATATTATTGTTTGTTTATCCTTGAAGGGGAAACACTAACTGCTTTATAACTTATTACAATTAAGAGTTCATCTAGGGTGGATTTTAAGCCTTTTGCATGCGGGGTAACTTAAAGAGGTCATAGGAAAGTCACATGTATTCTTTGGGCTTGCAATAGGATTACACTTCACTGTCCGTAAGGAAAAATGAGAAGTTTGTGTGTTGTCTTACCTACTATTTCATTCATGTTCTTTGTCATTATAAATACTTTGTACAGTGAGATCTTACCTAACAAGTGACCTGTGTATTGGAGAAAATGTTTGTGTATTGAATTTTTATTAAGTGGAATTCATTTCCCTATAGAATACTCTTGTTAAAAACTGATATGCATTCTAGTCCAAAATATTTCAACCCAAACACTCAAGCCTAAAACCTAACCTAACAATATTTAACTGATAGTAACTTTATGCAGTTCAGTCACCAGAGCTGAAGATTTATGCTGCTTGTGTTGGCCAAACATTGATGGTTTAGAAAAGAAGTCTGAGAGTGCACAGGTTACCACTCATTCACCCTTAAAGGACGACCATTATCATCACACTTCTGCTGTTTCCGTCTTGTCACCCTCACCGCCTTACAGCCAGGCATGCTTTTGTGGAGTACCTGATAGTATGGTGTCCCCAATTTCCATACAATAGTCAGGAAATAACTTACATTAATTTGGAAATAATTTAAAGTAGTTAAGTAGTTTTTTTTGTTGTTGTTTGTGAACCAATTTAGTTTTTAAGGTACGGTACAGTACTGTATGATAATGGTTTTCTTGTCATTGGGGAATCAAACTTTATTTTCCCTTTATGTTGTGTTATTCGATACACAAATATACACTTGATGATTGCTTTCCAAGGAACCTATGCTAACCTAACCTAACCTAACCTACCCATTCACATAACGAGGATACCTGTACTGTATCTACGTTGCACTACCTGTTCCATCCATTGTTCGTGTGAGAGGGAGAGAATTTCTATCTTACAAATGATTTCATATATCTGAGTAAATATCATGATAATATTCCTTAATTAGTGATTCTTAATCAAACCATGTAACATATCATTTCAGTTTATAATATGAAAGTACTGTATATATTTTTTTTTTTTTTATTTTTTTATTTTTTTTTTTATTTTTTTATTTATTTTTTTTTTTTACAGAGGAAAGTAACGATGCCTTACATAGCTGGACATGAGGAAGATGGTTTTCTCAAGTCTCTGAATCTGAGCATAAGCAACATCGAGGTAAAAGCAGACAGGTGCACGAACATCCTGGTCTGGCACACCCGCACGGCCAAGAACCCTATACGGACCCTGAACATGGAAACCCACCAGAACGACAATATCAAGGTGCTGGCTGATAACATGAGACACCTGGGGATGATTAAGTAGCTTCACCTGTTATATTGTACAGTTGAAAGAGAGTTACAGTAGTCGTCTGTAGTAGTATTGTATTGCCGGGGTAGATCAGCGATAAGTACTGTAGTTCTATTGATACAGTAATGTATTTTTTATTGTAGGGTTTATTAACGTCTCTTCTCATATTGTAGTATTGTATTTAAAGAAAAAAATAAGGTCTTTCTATACTGATGATCTCATTGAATTGCCAAAAATATGTTGCAAATGAAAATCAAAACAGGAGTACAGGTAGTTCTGCTATAACGCGATAATTGTGTTCTTGTAAAATATCGTGTTATAGAAAATCGCGTAATAGAAATAACAGGGCTTATGGAGAAAATAGGGTTAGGTGCAGATTACTCGAAATCGAAAAAATTTAGTAGTTAGCCTAGCACAAAGGATAGCACAGTCTAAATAAATGTTACATTCATATCTAATAATGAAATCATACAGTAAATGTAACACTTTACTTGATGGGAGAGAAGGGTGATTTTGAGGTTGATAACATCGAGCTTCTCTTCAAGTGTTATATCCTTTCTTTTACGATCATCACCGGGAATTCTATCACCAGAACGCTTCTTGGAGATATTCTTCTTTACCATATTCACAATTAATACCACAAAATTGGAGAAATAGTAAGCAAAAATCGCGTTATAGCAAACAAGCGTTCGCGTTATACAAATATCGTTCCTAATTCATAAATCGCGTTAGAGCAAATTCACGTTATCAAAACACGCGTTATAGCAGAACTCACTGTAATAAACACAAGCATTTATTAAGGTAAAGCTGACATCCACATCAGTGTAAATGTTTTGTGATTCTCTCTCTCTCCAGATATATGGCCACCAAAAAAGCTTATATTTTTCTTATAATATATTGTGGAATTAAATAATCTACTTAAGATTTCAACATCTTAGATATTATTGAACACATAACATCAGTACTTGCTGTTAAGGTCTGGAGTTAGATTGGTCATTTTCAGCTTCTCTTAACACCTGAATTTATTGCTCTTCTCCCCCCCCCCAAGAAGAAGGGCTGTTTTGGGTATTTATTATTTTCTCATTTTCTTCATTACACCGGTTGTCTTTTGCTCTGTATTTTAACCATTTTTCAAACAGTCGACAAGTGGGGGTAAATTTGGTACTTGTGTGTGTCAGGGTAAGGTATGTATGTTACGGTTTATGTCCATTTTGTGAACTTCCATTATATCTACTTAGAAAATGTCATATATTCTCGAAATGTCTAACCAAACCAAATCAAACCTAACCTAACCTAACCTAACCATATCTTAAGCTAACCAGTGTCCGAGCTGACCTATTCAACGGACATATGGGCTGTCTTATTTTATACCTGGATTGAAATTATTTACTGCCTATGGTAAAAACAACATGAGCTCGAATATATTTAGTCTAAATATATGAGTCAAGTAGTTTGAGTATCACGTACATTGAAAATCTTGATGATCTCTTAACCGAGAAGACATCTGGCATTAATGAAGAAGTATTATTGAAGAAACTTTAAGAATTTAGGGCTGGCAAGGTTCTTCCATGTACCATAAGCCCCAGACCATGTGGGAAGTTTGACTGTTCTTAGAGAGAGATTTTTTTTTTTTATCCAATAATAGTGAAAAGCTCGGAATGTAAGGCGTCTTTAAGTACTGGGCATCGTTTGATTTTGAAGTCGTTTGTTGGTATAATGTTATTACCTGCGCTTCAACAACTAAGGTCTTTAAGCGCGTATTAAAGTTAGTTACACCGTTGCGTTAAACTCCTGAGGTTTAAGAGTTCTATCTAAGAACTGAATTAGATCGTTCACCTTCATTGTTGAATCAGCGTCCTTCCCAATTCCAAATTATTAAAATGTATTAGTCTCAAATTATCAGACCAAGACTCTCGCTCATCAAACACTTGAGCCTTCCACCCTTTTGTCATATCCTGAATAATCAGATACAGCTCAAGAGATTCAAAGATAATCAAGATCAAAAGTTTGCCAAAAAATCCCTAACCAGCATTATGTGTCTGTTCATATCATCAACGGTTCACCTGCAATCTTGTTGCAATAAGACGGTGCCTTCATACATTGATGGAAAGAGTGCCATCTAAGTGTTATGAACGGAGACAATATTGGCTGGGTATTTTGGGCAAACTTTTGATTTTGAATTGTTCATAAAATTCTGTTTTTTGATTACTCAACATAAACCCCTTGACTATTATCCAGAGATTTGGGATAATTAATTTCATGTTTTCAAGGTCTTATATACGGGTATGTGCCACCTTGTTTTAATCACAAAACCTTATTGAACCTGATTCCCATCATTGAATAGCAGAGGCATTACAGACTTCACAGAGATGCAGCCACTCTTAAAACATCATTAGTAGAAAAGAATTAATTTCTTGTGATAATCTTAATTTACAGAGTGTTAGGCATGAAATGAATATTTTGTCTTATTTAAATCACTTATCTACTGTACTTAGCTCCTCTTTATTCTGACCATCCTGTACAGGTAGTAAGAATGAGGGAAACAGAAATGTATAATTTTTACTTCACAAGAAATATCATAGTCTTCCTGTTACCCTCCCCATCACCCCTGCAACAGCCAACTCCCTTTCATTACCAGAGAGGTACTAACTACAGGTATTTTGCTTCCTTAACTTAATAGTAAAACCATTTATGAATCTTATTGAATACTCTGAAGCTGTTGGAAATAGTGTTGCAGGTGTGTGTGCGTGTGTTTGTAAGAGGGGGATGTGGATAAAATATTAGAATCCTGGGTTTATAGACACGTTATAATTTCAGCAATTTACTCAAGTCCTTCTAGGTAGTGGGTAAATCACATGTTCAGTGATGATTTCTTTCTTATTTATTTACTTTTTCTGTGTGGTGTAGTAAGAGAGGTACACACAGGGTCAATGGTTCACTCCTTCCCACACTGAAGCAGTGTTGAAACCCTAATGAGATAAAATGCCACAACCACACTAGATGACAGTCAGGATAAGTTAAGTTCGGAGACTCATTCCCTTGACTCAGTTTCACGGCGGGGAGTGAACTTTTGACCGTGACCTAACATATGACTCTTGTATCCACTCTAGAGCGCGATGACTGACAATTAACTCTCTTTTTCCATTGTAATATCTTCATTTTTTTATGGAATTCTCTCACATGAGTCTTTGAATGTTAGTGTCTGTGTGTAGGTGGGTGAGTATGTGTGTGTCTTAGCTCGGTGTTTTTAGCTTTTATGGAAATAGTGCCATAGATTTATATGACCATTGTGTTACTGTACTGTCATTCACCTTCATTCACCCATTTTCTGATCTTCAAACACCCAATTAGTCCAACAAATCCTTATTTTAAAACAAGATTACCAATCTTGTACGAACTGTGTAAAAACTTCAAGTCACCAGTCAAGCAAATGAGGCACAGGAGTATCTGCTCAAGATGGGTGTAAGTAAGCAAGTGATTAGTTACACAGTTGGTTACTAGATGGCATAGTGAGCACATGCCTGATCTTAGCTTCACTGCAAATGACGATAAATACTGCATTGTCCTCGTCTATACCAATAAATGTTGCTTGAGAATCCTTCACCGCGAAGGCTCTTATGATGAAGCGTTGTAAAGCTTTTCACTATTTTATCTCTTATCATATTGGCCCTTGAGTCAAGATCACCTAATGTTAATACTACTTTTGACTGTGTTTTTAAATCAAGAATATATATGATATGTACTAAGGTTATGCTTATTCTATCAGGTATCGTTATTTAAATGTTAACGTTTATGTTATTGATGAATTTCTTTTATGTCCGTTATGTAACGTATGAGATTAATATATGAATCTTATTCTGTAGTATTTCCCTCCATATATTTGTTTTGGAATATACTGTATATTCTTATACAGTACAGTACTCTTAGTTATTATGCAGTATACAGGTGTAGGAGTCAGATGGCTGTATACTGAGACCAAAGCCCTGGAGGGAGGTGTTCATAAGGTGCTAGTAAATGTTTCCCTCTCTCACAATACCAACAATGCTTCCTTTTAAGTAAACAAATAATAATACGAAATATATCAACTTGAAAAATATTTAAAAGAATTTTTAATGGAGAAAGAAATACATGTATTATTGTTTCTTTTGCAGCCAGAAAAGTGAGTTCCTTTTATTCAGCTCAGAGGGCAGCCCGTACACAAGGGCATTGGCAGTGCAGTATAGCGGATATTAAGGCAATATTGAAGTGGCTTTCAAGCTAATAAAAACAGATCAATTAACTGGAATATCTTAAGGGGAAGAAGATATTAGGAATTGAGAGAGGGCGGCTAATTAAGGGTCCCAGATGTAGCAATGGGGCGTGAGATGTTTCTCCCAGATCTTGATTATGAGTACTGTACAGTTTAGTTATTTCACCCTCTAAGTCAGGTCAGGTCCTTAGGTAATTTAACTGTTGATTGAAGACATTTATAGAGAGATATAGGCCAGTAGACTCCATGGTGCTCAAATTTCCACCTTAAGATGAAATAAACTTGAATGTTGCCCGCTGCAGTTTCCTCCCTTCTTATGTTGGTACTGATAGATTAGGAAGGAAATTATCGTGTTGGGATTTAGTTGTTCATCCTATAGCTTATATTTTGTATTGATATTTGGATTTTACATTGATAGTCTTCACGAGGATATGATCGGACTTTCTTGCGACCGATTATTAGGAGCCTGTTCATCGCACTTCCCGAAATTACTCTCTGGTAATTATTTTAGGGTTCCCGAATAAAAAAAAATACGGTGTGCTTTGTAAGGAGGATTTTTATTGCGGATCTTTCAAATATTTCAGTGATGATTTTGTGTGTAAGAATATGGATTAACACTATAACAGCTGTATTGATGGATAAGTGTGTTTCATAAAGGCACTTAAAAAGAAACTAAAAGCCTATCCATCACTAATTTCTTTCTGGTTACATACTCTTGTGGGAATAAAAACAGGGTCAAATTTTATCCCAGCTACAATATAAAAACACAAACTCATTATGTTTTTATTGTTGATGTTTTACAAATTCCTTTTAGAAGATTATTTTTGTTTTCAGATCTATATTGTTTTCAGTATTGTTGACCTACCTATTCTTAGATATGGCCATGATATATTTTGTTTGTACAGTGAAACCTTCATATATTGCACTTCTCTCCATATAATCCATTAGATGAGGGGTTTCATGTCTCTTGGACCCTCAATATAGTTTATTAGATGGAGGTTTCACCTTAGTCTTAATATCTCAATTGTTTACGGTAGATTTTTATTTATGAATGAGTATTTTATTGTATATTGTACGAGTTTATCAGTTATCACTCCCTCCTTCACACAATCTCATCTCATTGTGA